GCACATTCAAATCTACTGCAACCACCAAGCCAATAGTTTTTCCGAAGCTTTCTAAAATTATTCCGAAACCATGCTAAGACCTGTGGCTACTATGCACTTTTCCACGGAATGAGATTAGGGCCACAAGTGAAAAGAAATGATTTGAGTTCTGAGTTTATTCTCAGAATTCTGACTTTAAACTCAGAACTCAAACAAATGTTCCACTTGTCCTCTACCACTTGCCAGCTAGGACAAAGTTCAGCTACGGTGTTGGATGGATGTCTTGGATGTCAAACAGTTGCTAACCACATTTTCCAGTTTTTCCAGAAGTTATCTGGCAGTTTCAGTTTAGCGTGCAGAGTGTGAGGAGACTATTGAAAGTCAATAAGGGATGTGAAATGGTTTCAGTGAAGTGTTAATTAGCAGGAATAAACACAGCGTTTCACAGGTAATAAATATGACTATAAAATACATTTGTGTTTGCAGTCACTGTCTCTGTTTGCAGATTTAATTATCTAGCATTCAGAACAAGACTAAGAGTCAGCAGCCATGCTCAGGCTGTACTTAGGCACAGAGCTAAATGCTAACGGATGTTTAGCAGGTATCATGTTTGCCGTGCTCACCCTCTTAGTTTTGCTTGTTAGCCTGCTAACGTTTGCTAGTTACCCGTGAACACAAAGTACAGCTGAGGCTGGTGAGAATGTAATGTTTTGAAGGTATTTTGTCATAAACCAAATTATTGGACACATCAGAATTTTGACCTGATGATTGTGTTAGATGAAAGGTTGGTGGATCACTATTGAGGTTCATCCTCTGGGGATCATGAATTGCAATATTTCCACAGATATGGAATAGGAGTAGAACAGACATTGAGTTGTTTTTCCGTGGTCATTTGACTGGTACAAAAGAAAATGGCGATTGTTTTTAGTGGTCTTGGTTATTAATGTGGTTGCAGCTCACTGGGAAGAGAGTGGACGTAGCTCTGGGGAAACGGATGGCTGGCTGGTTAGCTAGCTACAGTAGATTGTCCTTCTCCAGAGAGGCCGGTAGTGAGGCGGAGGGACCGCTGGCCACCAGCCTACTGTTCGGCTTATTTCCTGTAACCAGTATAGCATTAAAGCATGATGAAATTAGCAAGCTAGCTAACAAGCCAGCTGTCCGCTAGTTAGCTACTGTAGCTAGATTGTTAAATCCACCATGCTTAAATGCTACACTTGTTTACAGGAAAAATAAGCCAATCAAAGTTGTCACTCGTCTGGCGTTAGCTATGCGCTTTCCAACACTCAGTCAAGAGTGTGGGGATGACGCATCAAGTTGCTAATATTGCTGCTTGTTTTTGTCGTCACAGCAAAACCTCACCTTAGAGAGCTGCGACTTGCCGTAAATCGGTTCGGTTCATAAGTAAGCATTGCCATCCAAAGAGCCACGCCACGTGTGTTTCGTACGTACGCGCAAACCCAGGCATCTTTGATCTAATTTTCGAACAAGTTCAGTAGCTCAGCGCTCCCTTGGGCGTGCCAAAACAAAATGAACAGGTCAAAAGCCTGAAGGAGTGACTGATACATATCCGGTGGTTGGAGCCTTTTGTCTAAATGTTAAAAAATCCTCCACATGGAGCTTATCTCTAACTGTGTGTGTGTGTGTGTGTGTGTGTGTGAAATATTTGTCTAGTGTCGTAGGAATGTGAACAGCTATAGCAGCCAACGATAGGCTACTAAATGAACAAAACAAAAGCAGGTAAAGACACGATGTTAAGCTGGAAGGTATTTTTGCAGCATCACATTTTTTAAAATGTTAAAAATAAAAAAGGAACGTTGCTTTTCAGTGTTTTCTCAGGGAAAACTGGTTTTCATCTTGAAAGTGACATTTCCCTGTCCTAACCCATCTCCTGTTTTTTTCCATTCATGAAAAAACAAAAAACAAATCACACTTCCAACAAATACAAATGAATAAAAATAAATAAATAAATACATTTTCAATAAATATATGAAAAAAATATGTTTACACTCTTGGAATCATTTCAAAAGAGTTTTTGACATTCACATGGTTGGTGCCGCCCTCTACTTTGCTGGTGGCAAACACGAAAACACCTTCAACAACAACAACAACAACAAAAAGACACAGAGAAAGACAGGAGAGTAGAAAAAAAGAGAAGGTATGGAAAGTCAAAAATAAAACAAGACAGATTTCATTCTTTAGGTGTGGCGTCCCCCCCCCCCCCCCCACTCCAGGCAGTATTTGCGCAGTGTTTTTATGACAACAGACACGCCAGAGTTCTTTTGTCTGTCTTGGAATCTACTTTTCCCACTTGTGAAAAAGCACATTTGTTCATCTCCGCCTGCCACTCCTTTCAGAGAGGCAGACAGAAGCTTCAGTTTGGGGCTTAGGCGTTGCCCTGCGTCCTCCTGCATCCGTTGTCAAACGTAAAGGAACATAGGAAGGGCTTTTAGTTGCCTAATTGTGGGTCTAAAAAGCCTGGATGTCCTGTTTGACAGGCCTTTCTACTCTAATTCCACTTTTCAATCACCTTCAATTACTGTAATTTCATGGACTTGAAGAGTGAAGAGTTTCACTGTCATCTCTACGTTAGCTTAAGCTATTTTTTTTCTTTTTGTCCTTCCTCTGCTACCAAACGGATACCTGTTGCTAGCTCTCCTCTGTTTAGTCTCCATCTATCTACTCAGCTCCCCCGTCCTCCGAGACATTCTACCTGTGGTGTGACTAGTGTCCTCAAAATGGGGCTAAATCTAACTAGCTATCCACTATTCTCTCCTCCATTAAAGGCAACACGGTATCATAGCTTCATCAGTGTAATTCGGGAAATAATTTATGGGATTCATGCTTCTCAAAACACTCGAGGAAAAAGCGTCTTTGTCTGTCTCGCGTCGGACTAACGCCACGTAGACCGCGTCAAATCTTTTCTCTCCGTCATTTCCTTCTCTGCACTCAGGACGCCTTGATTGTTAAAGTAACGACATTAACAATCCAGTCTACATCAAGACTCCTTTGATGCTTTCTCGAAAAGATGTCCTCTTTTTGTTGCTTTGCTTTGAGAACACACGTTTGTCTTCAGTCAGAGAGAGCGAGGAGAAGAGGAGAGAGCGGGTTTTCCTGGTCGTGTGACTCAACACGTGTGGTCAGGTGGTGTTGAGGGTGATGATCGATGTGATGTGGGCTCTGTCATTGGCCGGTGTCTTCCTGCGCCATTTCGACTACCCGGCGGAGGTTTCCTGTCGGTTTTGATTCCCGTGTTGCGTGATGGGAAGGTCATGTGCTTTCTTGATTCGTTAAAACGGGCGGACAACGTCTTTCCCTGGCTGGGAGCTTTTTCCTGCATTTCTCCGGTCAGGTGGGACATCCTGTCTTCGGGCTTGTCGTCCCCCCCGTCCCCCCTTTCCGGGGTGAAGCTGCCCTTGAAGGCTGATTAGAGATCAGCTCAACCTGCCTCCACCACCCCCCACATGTACGCATTTCTGCAAAAAAATCTGTCATTTGCGGGGGGGATATCTCCTTCGTATCCCCCCCGGATCAGCTTCAAGGTAGAACTTTCCCCGTCCTCCGTCCCGTCGCTTTGGAATAATGGTAGGAAGCAAGGCAGGAGGTAAGGAAATAGGGAAGGAAAGAATGTGGGAAGGGCTGAGGGAAGGAAGAGAAAAAAAAGGCCAGGCAGATGACCCTCGCCCTCTCTTCCACACGACATTCCTTTCAGGGATGGGACTGCGTCCCGTTGGACGACGAGAGGAGTCTGGTCTTGTCCTTCCCCGAGCCCCGCCTCTGCAAGGTGCCACCGCTGCCGCCCCCAGCGTCCGCCGTACGCTCCTTCTCTCCCCGCTCCCGCTCGGAACCGCTCTCGGAACGCCGGGAGTTCTGACGCGAAGGGGTGCTGGGCTGGCGGGAGAGCTGTCCGTTCTTCTCGTCTGAGGGGCCAGGGGTAAAACCGGGGGAGAGAGGACGTGAAACAAACAACTAAACTACTGGAACATGTGGTTAGCGTGTGTGTGTGTGTACTTCTTACCAGCCAGTGCCTGCACAGAATGCTGATCGTGAGTACTCAGGAGCTGAGCCTGAATCGTTTCCACCACTCTCTTGAATCTGCGACTGGGACCTGGTTGGGAGAGCAGTCTTTATTCATTCATTTGAAGGTTTAAAACAGTGAAAATTGAAACTCCAATTTTAAATACAGAATATAGAAACTCAGCCTCAAGGATACAAATGTAAAATAAACACAGATGAGCGTGAATTTGAAGATCAGAGTCAATAATATAAAGGCCTTAACACAATAGGGTATTTCCTTTCTTTTTTTTGCGTGAGATTCATTCACACGTCGATATATTTTTGTTGTTTGTTGTTCTGTTGTTGTTTTTGTCACGAGTACTTTCACACAGAACATGGTCAGAAAGTATTACGCAGCTTAAAAAGCAATATCGTTTTGTTTGTCAGAGCGAGGTTGATCGTCAACCAATCGCACTGTGCGGAACGGACATATTAAAAAACGTACACTGCATTGCACACCAACACGGAGGCGCCGTAGTCTGAACCAAGACGGCAAACTTCATTATTCCTTGCAACCTTCACCTTTACCTTTCACAATAAAAGCCCACAATAAAAGATGTGTAGTATACGGTGTAACTGTTTACCAGAGGGAAGCTATTTGCAATAAGGAAACACAATAAAACAGCCTCCAGTAGCTTTAAGCTATACAAATATTTGACTTCCAGAGGATCCAGGTAGTGTGTCCTGCACGAATCCATCAAACCTTTTATTGAAAAAGTGCTACAACCGTCGCAAATTTGCATCACTGCCGTTATGTTTTGATGCAAAAACATTAGCTGGTGTTGTTCTTTCTAAACCTCCAATAACTGATTTATTTGGCCACCTTGTGGGCAGTGGAAACAAGCTGCGAACTCAACAAAGACATGTTGTGATCGCCTTTCAGGGAATAACCGGTTTCTCACCGCAAGGTAACATGGGACTAAGAAGAAGCACGGGTTATAATTGCACGTCTTACACCTGTAGCTGTGTGTTGCTCTCCTCTTATCTATCCTCCACACAAACACACCGTCCTACCTGTTATTAGAGTGAAGGTGACGCTGTAGATGCCCATCTCTCGTCTTCCCTCCCTCTCCACTCGTTCTCTCTCTCGCTCCCTCTCCCCCTCGGAGAAAGCAATGTCCACCTACAGAGAAAGAAGGAGCACGCGTCCGTGAGTTCATGATGCTCACACACGAAGACCAAAGACGGTTAAAGAAACTATGTACATGTTTCAGTTTCTGAGATATGCTCATTTTGAGTATCCTCCGATGCTTCATACCCCTTAAAATCTGTTCAACCTAACTTAAGAGGTTATGTAAGTCAATAAGCCATAATCATTGATAAAAGTATTGCAATTGTAAATGGACATTGGTTTCCATCAAAGCATATTTTTCCTGAACAATTCTAAATGTAGAAACATGAAAACACAATTCTCAACCAAATTAACATAACTTTTTAGTTTTTGAAATGTGCTCAGTTATATGAGCAGAGTAAAAAGCTGTTGATCGTTTTAATTCTGTATTTGTTTGTGTTTCTCTCAGTGTCCCTGGGTGGGATCTGTTGGGTTTTTGTAAATGAAATGCTCTGTTGTGAGCTTAAGTAACTTCTGTTGTGAGCTTAAGTAACTTCAAAGCAGAACACAAAAAACATGCGATTACATGGATGTATATATATATATATAGTAAGCTTAATACTATTTAAAATGTTGGTTAAAGCTGCTTGAAAGCTTTGGATCGTATGCCAGTAACAGATTGGTAAATTATTGAATCTTCATGTACAGTATATGATGCTTACATTGAAACACTCAAAGTCTTCACTGAGGTGTTGACTAGAATCTGATAAAAACTTCAGTGGGTTTGAATGCTGCGTGGTCAGCACAACATGCATTTGTTAAAGATGGAGTTGGGAGTGTTGGGTCTCAGGGCTGAAGATGTAAAAAATAAATAAAAGTAATAATACTTGGAACTTGACAGGCTTCTGGAAGACAGAGGGGCCCCCGGAGGACTTGTACTCTGCCCGGAAACTGTTCTGAGACACCACGCTGTGGCTGAGGGATGGGATCTGGAGAGGCAAAAGAAAAAGGGTGACACTCAATATTTAGTCTCTGCCTTTAATGCCGCAAATTGTACTACACAGCGAATGCCCGAAGTTGTCGAGGCCTACTGAAGCTCGAGCCGTACTCACTGAGAGGAAGGCATGGACGATGTCAGCCTTGATGGAGCTGAGCGGCTTGTCTTGAATCATCACGAAGATCTGCTCCTCTTTCTCCAGGCTGATGAAGTTACCGAACCAGGACTTCTTAGCCAGTCTGCAAATGAACAAGTGTTTGACATGTGACTGATTCCTTCCAATGACACTATTCATTTGGGTTGGATGTGGTATTTTCAACTGGCCCATAATGACGGACATAGTGTTCAGTCAAGGATTTGACTGTTTAAATAATTCTGGTTATACAGTTAAATCTAGCTGGATGAAAAAACAGAGAGTTAGCTGACAAACAAATCTCTGCGCTGGAGCTTGAAAGTATTGAAGCTCTAAACGCTACATAATGAACCTCGTGGTGAGATTGTTTCGTCAACCTACAAACCGTTGTAATATTGTACTGTGTTGCAGGAAAACAAACGGAGACTTGTGTGGACTTACTCTGGACTGGACTCGGGAGTCAAACTGGACATGTCCTCTGACGTGGGGACTAAAAAAAGGAAACAGAGAGAGAGAGAGCGAAAGAGAGAGCGAGAGATAGAGCGAGAGAGAGAGAGAGAGCGAGAGAGAGAGAGAGAGCGAGGACGACAGAAGCAAAAGGCCAGTGAATCTTTATGACAGGGCATAATCTAATTGCCCTAATTAGAGATTATCACACAGACATTAATCAACACAGCCGCAGGCTACAGGCCGGGGCACGTGGCCGTTTCTCGGTAATAATAGATTCTATCTTGGATGCGAGTAGATTAACTCTGATTGTTTAAACTGTTAGCGCAGCATCAAGTTACTTCATACTTCATTTAGAGGCTACTACTTTTTTGAATTTTGTTATCTCAAAGTAGTGAGGATTCACACCATCATCATCATCCACTGATAGTTTGTTCAAACTCACCTTGCAGTTTGCGCCGATGGAAGCGCGGCGAGCCCAGGAGGTTGTTTTTGAACGAGTTGAGCCTTGTTCTCCAGTGGGCGGAGCTGGAGGCGGCCAGACCGCCGCTGCCGCCCGGGCTGGAGGGCGGCGTCAGCGACAGCGAGGCCCCGCCGGCCCCATCCGCCCTGGAAGAAGAGGACGAGGAGGAGGAGGAGGGAGGGGTGGTAGAGGAAGGGTGGTGGATTTGGTGCACGGGCGTGCCCAGCGGTGTGGGCAGCGGCGAGCCCTGCGGCGTGACCTGCGACACAGGGGGAGGGGCGGCAGAGGAGTTAGAGGACGAGTGGACGTTCTTGGACTTGAAGACGGATGGAGAGGGGAAGTTGAAGAAGCGTGGGATGGGGGAGAGGAGTGGAGAGGGGGACGGGGAAGGGGAGCGTGGGGTGTGGAGGGGGAGGGACTTCATGGAGTGGAGTGGGGGCCGGTCGGCCTGGCCCTTTGAGGGCAGGGTCTGTGTTTTTGGGTCGGGTGGTGGGCGGGTGGGCCGAGGCGTGGTGGCGCTTCCTGGTTTGGGGTCTTTGGAGGAGGAAGCGGAGGCGACTTCTGATTGGCTGAAAGTGAAGACCGGGCTCTGATGGGCAGACAGAGAGAGAGAGAGAGATGGGGAGAAGGAGGGAAAGAGGGATGGAAAAGATGAGAGAAAGCAATGGTCATGAATTATGGTTCATGGAAACGATTTTCAACAAGCCTCGATCAGATGGAAGATGGATTTGGGGGATCTCTGTTCTTGGTTACAGCTACGTATGTGTTTTAGTCAGTTTTTTTGTCCAGACATTTGTATGAGGCGACATGGCGTATCTATGAAATGAGAATGTAAATGACTGAGAAAGTGATGGAGTGTGATGGAAAAGGCTGCCATATCTTAGCAGCGACAGTCTGAGCGAGAGTTAGCAGAGAAAATAAAACAAGCATCACAGGAAATTTGGTTTGGTGTTGTTGATGGCCTAAACTGATATCTTTAAATTGGAGCCGCTGATAGTACATACTGTATATGTTTAATATATACTGCAAGTTCAAAAGGAAAAGTCTGGAAAGACAGATACAAAACAGCTTTAGTACACAACACACAGCACATTACAAAGAACAGACCAAACTCAACTCCAAGCCCACTGGTCCCTAACAAAGGTGAATAGGTTTTATCACATATGACTCAAACAGTAGGAAAATATTGCATTTATTCTGTACTATTTTCAGCTGCGGATGAATACACATTTGATATGCTTTGACCTATTTTCTTACAGCGGCAGGATGATGCGTGTGGGATTGATTTAAAATACACCACAGTGCCCATGTTCATGGCAATAAAGGAACGTGTCACCCAGTGCAACAGTGTGACTCACTGGTGTGTTTATTAATAGTTCTTAGACAACAGTTGAGCGCTATGGCGCAGAGGATTAAGATGTATCAGGTTTCAGATACACAGAAAATGCTGTATTAATAAATGTTGTTTTTTTCATGGGATTTGTTGACAATTACAAAATATGATCACCTTTATCCTTCAAATAGGACAGAGAAAGTCTGTATTAACTATAATACCAGCTTCAGACTTTGGTCTTTACTGTATGTGCAGACCATAGGAGTAGGAGCAAGACGGACATTGAACTGTTTTCCGTGCTCATTTGACTAGAACAAAAGACAATGGCTACTGTTGTTAGTTGTTATGGTGACATAACTTATGTCAGTAAATGAGAGGTGCTGATCAGGCAATTTTATAACCTTTGGACAGAGCGAGGCTGGGGCTAGCGGTTTCCCCCTGTTTCTTGTCTTTGTGCTAAGTTAAGCTAACCAACTGCTGCTGGTAACTTCATTTTTACTGTACAGACATCATCTAACTCTTGGCAAATAAAAAGGAATAAGCTCACTTGCCAAACTGTTCCTTTAACTGCTTGTAAACAAACTAGTAATATCTATGATATGCAAATTATTATATAAACATACTGAGTTCCCTTTGCTCATTAGAATGTGTGAAACTGAACGCAAAGAGATCACCATATATGTAGAAATGCTTGCCAGACATTAAAAAAACGAGACAAACTATGCACATTAATGCAGCTTTCAGTGCCAATCCCCCACTCTCATGAGTGTAATCATTTAGTCAGATTATGTGATGTAAAGTACAGAACGGAACACTTCACAGACCTGGCCAGGATCGTTATAGAGACATGGGGGAGATTAAAATGGGAGATTCTATTTGGGAGACTCACCCATGTAGCTGTGTGACACAAGCATGGTTGATTAAAGTGTAAACTCGTAGGTTAAAAAACTTTTAATTTGCTTTTTGAGTGTAAAAAAAAACTCAAAATAGTTGAACTCTGTGTCTGCAGACAGCAGGTCAGACCCTGTTTTAAGGCAGCTAGGTCAGAGGCAGTGAAAAGGTCTTTAACACGGTTAATAGAGTAGAGAGACGTTCTTACCCTGGGACTGCTGAGAGGACTGGAGGACAGACCTGTGGACGCTCCACTGACTGAACGAGACCTTTTGAAGACAGCAACAAACAAAAAGTCATCGAGGCGAATGGGACTTTTAGGTGCAACAATTTCCATCAGTTAAAACAATAATGTCATGTTACGTCAGTCCTGGTTCTGACCTCTGACTGTGTGCATTAGTGTCCAGGGCCCTGCGAGGCGGGGTGGGAGACCCCCCCTCTGTGACACTGAGGACCTCCAGGCTCTTCCTCTCTGGACGACAGCGACCATGACGCGTCAGCATGGGGGAGTCCACTCGCTTCCTGGGGGGGTCTTGGAGGACAAAAATAATAGGAAAAAAAAGAAAAGGAAAATCGGAATTTTATCTTTTAAAAGAATCGACTGAACGGTCAGAGGAGAAGTAACATTAGATTTCACAATCAAGCTTTTGTCTAAAAAGGTTATGCAGCACGTGTTCTCACCGAGGTCATTTCTGGCTGGCAGATCCTCATCTTCACAGCTGGGGTATCGCTCCTTCCTGTCCAACAGGAGGTAGTAGATCATCTTCTCCTGGTTCTCCCTGCAGAACAAGACGCAGAGCGACGGAGAAACCGAAGGTGAGAAAGAAAGGAGACACAGAAAGCTTTTTGCCGACGGAATCGGTAAACACAAGAAAGACAAGAGGCTTGTCAGTGTCACATGTGAATAAATAATGGCAACAAAAAAAAAACATTGTAAATGGGATGGTCCGGACAGGTCATATCGTAAGTAATCTCTATAAACAGAAATCTGCATATGAATGCAGAATCGCTAAGCGTTCTGGTTTCCGTTTGTATTCCGAGTTGTATTGACTAAAAACATTTAGTAGATAAACAGTCCATGTGGAGAGAAAAAGAGGTGGAATGCATCGGTGGAAATGCAATCTCGGAACCCATCGGCTGTCATCTGACGATGATTCAGCTTTTTATAAGCTAGGAAATGTATCATTAACTGAGTGTAAACCGGCTACTTGTGAAACAAAACCATTCGTAGACGTCGTCTCTCAACTCCAAATCTATTCTTTTTTATTTTATACATTTTTTCCTTATCCCCGTCTCCAACGGCTACACCAGAAACCCAGAAATATTGCAAAAATATCTGTTGCTAAAGTTAACGACAACAAACCCTAAACACCTACATGTTAGCAATCAGTTGCTTATTAACACATCCAGTAAACATGGAAAAACATTAAAATTTATTTGGTTTGGAGTGTTTCTGGAAAATGTTAGTCAAATACTCCTTTAAGCTAGGATTTTTTGTTTCCACTAATTCTTACAATCATTGTTTGGCTCCATATCTGCTACAAGCTCCGCTATGTTCACCAGCTAGTTGCTAAATTTGCCTGTCTGCTGTTTGCTGCTGGTCAGGCAGTATACAGCGGGTTTATCACAGTTGTTTCACTGACAACAGCTGCCTACTGTGGCTGGTAACGGTTACGATGAGAGCTGTGAGACTCAGTCAAAACAGTGAAGGTACCAGCCGGAAAAACAAAACAATGAGCTTAAAGATGCTAAAACGCGTCTGCTTCTGCTGTTGTGGGTAGTGAGAGAGCTCATCAGAGAAGGGGGACACAACGGATGGGTGGACACAGAGATAAAAGAGCCCTTGTTGACATTGTTGCTCTTGTTCCTGCCATGCCAGGCAGATTAATGATTTAACTAATTGACAGGCCACAAAAGGAGAAAAAAGACAATGAGGGAAAGAGACGGAGAGAGAAGGAGACATTGTGAGAGAGAAATTAAAGTAACTACACACACAATTATACACGTTCTCAATCCCAACTCGTCAAATACAGCAGCTTGGTCAGTGGCCCTACACTTCAAACTACTACGTAGCTAAGGCTACCTTATGTATGCAACGTAGTAACGTTACATAACTTTTAACATTACAGTCATTTAGCAGACGCTTTTAGCCAAAGCGACTTACAATTCAGAGTCTATCACATTTCTACACCGTAGGCACAGCTACGGGAGCAATTTTGGGGTTAAGTGTCTTGCTCAAGGACACATCGACATGCGACTAGCGGAGCCAGGGTTCGAACCTCCCACCCTCTGATTGAAAGACGGCCCTGCTATCCACTTAGCCACAATCGCCCTTTTAACAAACCAAGGTTGACTTTTGGTGTCCCACGGGACACAAACCGCAGTTTCGTGGCTGAAATTCATGTGTTTTTGGACCCAACCATCCACCCAGACCTTCTCCCTTTGCAGACGATATTGCTCTGTATACTTCGTAACCTCACTTCGTTCTTTACTCCCCGCCATAACTACGGTCACATAGAGGGTCATAGTCTGATGCCGACTTGACATGTTTGTTCTACTTGTCTAATGATTGCCTAGGGATCAACCGGTGCAGTGGAGACAGGTTTACGTTTTTAAATTCTTTCATTCTTTCAATCTATTTATATAAAATATGAATATACTCTATAGTGGATAATAAAGCAGATTTATCAAGCTATCTGATCAATGTTCTGTCATAAATTCCAACCGATACGTCTCAACACTGGTGCACAATGATGTATTGACATCCATTCAAAGTGGAAATGTTTGATGGGTTATATTTACTCACTCCTCACTTGTAAGGTCCTGTGTGAGTTTGACCCGGTCTCTGAAGCACCCTAAGGAGTACATGCTTTCCAGGACATCAGGGTCCAGGTCTGTTAAGGACAGGATCTTCTTCACACACACACGGCGAGGCGCCGGCTGCTCTGGGCAAGGCTCATTACGGCCCCCCCTGAAGGGACAAAATCAGGGTATGTAGTTGCGTGCAATTAAAAAAATTGTTCGAAACATCTCAAAGTTTACTGCAAGCACTTATAGACAACGAGGGAGAACTCTTCACAGTCAGATATTATGGTGATGATTTGGGCAGCGGAGCAGTACGTTACACTGCTTCCTGCATTTTTTCCCCACACTTTTATGATCTAGGGTTCATTGGAAGATTTCACACATTTTCTTGGGGAACATTCTCATTTTCAACACGGCCATAACAGCTTAGTCACTGTAGTACAAATATATTGGTATAAGCATTGGCTTTTAAAAACCCACTACTACCCACAGAAGTTATTTCAAAAAGCAATGTAGGTCACATCAAGCCAGGACTATATTTATATGATGATATACTGTATATATATATAACTTTATTTTTGAGCTTTTAGTGATTACAGTGAAAAATCAAATGCTAGTATGCCTGGTGTCGACTGACAATGTAAAACAGACGTCTGAGCTGCACACTGTATGTACAGTATGGTATGAGGTATGTTGCGTGTTAGAATATTGGCTGACCCACAATAAGAAGAGGCCGACATAGTTAAAGTGAAGGTGTGAGAAATTACAGATGTGGCCAGCGGAGCCAAGTGCCGCTATGCTACTTTAGTACCAACAATAGTGGCTTTGGTGAAGAAGGGAACAGGGAAAATGCAGAGGAAGAAAGTGAACGTGGTACTTACTGGTACCAGGGGTGTTTCTGTATTGATTCTAGCTGTAATATAAAAAAAGAAGAAGACAATATTACAGCATTGATCAAAACATAGTTTCCTGATTTTACAGCTAATTTAATCCTACAATCATACATCAACAAAGATAAAGCATCTGCTGTCTAACTGAACACTGGGATCTGTGTTTAAAAAATAAAATAAAAACCTGATTAAACAAGTCTAAAGCTACCAAGTCAGGATTGTTCCATCACTTTGGTCCAGACTGAAATATCTCAAAAAATATTGAATGAATTGATGAAATTTGGTGCAGATAGTCATACCAACTGTAATAACTTAACTTTTTAATCAGTTCATCATCAGGTACAAAGTTAATTTTACCAAATACAGTACCTGCAAAAGCCTCCTGGTGAACATGATAAACATCACACTTGCTCATCAGCATGTTAGTCAATGTTAGCATACTGATGTTAGCATTAAGATCAGGTACAGCATGGCTGTAGACTCTTGTATCTGCATTTATGACCCCAGGAAAAGTATCCCTGCAGTCCAGTCCTGCTCAGAGTAACATAGGATTGAGTCCTAAAACCCCGAAAATGAAAAAGCATTTTTGCAAAGCAAACACAACACAAGCTTTAGAGATTTTAACGTTTAGTTCGAAGACATTAAATAAAAATGCAATAAGGAAAAAATCCATTGGCTTTTTTCCTTTCGAGGGAACCAGGGCGATGCTAACTTCCGAGGTTGGCCTGCAAAAATACGTCATCCCAGCGTACAGTGGTAGCCATCGCATCAATACTCTACAGTATCTCTTAGGGTTGGTGTAATGGAGCAGCTGCAGTTCTGCAAGCACGTAAACAGCGGGCCCGCTGTGAACACTGTATGCCGAGAGGAAACCAACAAGCAGCTGTATGCAGCCAGAGCTTTGCATTTGTTAACGTACTCATAAAGTACAGAGGACACACTTCCCGTTTCCTAACTGATATGAATATGCTGAAAAAAGCAAAAAATAAAAAGATGTGTGGGTTCCGAATGTTCAGCTTGCTAGCGACAAATATACTCTTCAGCTGGATTGAAATCTGTCTCCCTGTGTGTTGGGTGGTTTCCATGGAGGCAACCAGCAGACAGACAGAGAGAGAGAGACAGTCTGACCTGGTTTCAGGCTCCATTAATCAACAGCTCGTCAGACAAAGCCACAGCTATGATTAAATCTGCTCTGTTGTAGCTGAATGACTAAATGACCAGGCTTCCTCTCTGTCAGCAGTCTCTGCAAACCACATTATCACAGTAGTCTCCACCTCTCGGCCTCGAAAGCCTGGATTCCTCTCCACTCTTTCTAAACCTGAGCGCGGTGGAATTTCTTCCAGCTGTCCATTCACTCGCTCATTCATTTATTCACTCGCCCTCTCCCCTCTCTCTGCCTCTGGACTGCCGGTCTCCTTTTCAAGCCTTGCTTTCAGAAAGGGAAAGCTGGCATTTAGGTGAAAAGGAAGAGAGGTCCTCGCCCCCTTTCACCCTCAGCCTTCTCTACAGCCACTTGATCCATCCAATCAATCGCATTGTGCACACATGCCTCTCTTCCTCCCTACACCTCGGTTTCCGTGAGTCTCGTCTTCAAATTAACTGCTAACTTGCCTTTGAAGACAGAAATAAGAAACCCTGTCCTGTCATGGCTGACTCCACTCGTGCCTTTAAGCAATACCCAAGGCCCATTCCTCTGCTCTTTTCTTTTCCACCTTCCTCATCTCCTTCCTCTTCCCTCCGTAAGGTCCGGTGTCAGCGTCGATTTCTGTCACATCTCGAAGCGAGGCCTGGGGCCTTTCCTTTCCTTCCTCCCTCCTGAATGTCTGGTTCATGCTTCGTGTGCTGTGGAAACTGCTGTGGGGCAATGTGACTGTTTGCTCAGCCCTGCCTTCCTCAGTTACGGAACGCTCCTCCATTCATATGCAGTTCAGAATGAGAACAGCGGCAGATTTAGCACTGAAAATGCTGATTCATTTTTTTCAACAATATGGCCTTTATTTCAAACAGAGGCAGTCAAAAGGGGCTACTCAATTTTAGAACCAACGATTTTGCCATCTGATTTTATGAGCTGCAGCTAGCTAGCTGATTAAGCTAACGGTTGAAAACACTGTCTACGGCTCACATTTTACTCTTCCAGACAGGGCTTAGTTTGTGTGTGATTCTGAGTTTTTGACTGCCTGTGTTCTGGTACCTTTCTTTCTTTCTTTTAATGTTTATTTTTCCAGGGACAGCGCACAGTAAAAACTAATTGCACAAGAGCTAGCTAGAAGCTAATTTGCATCGGTTGTCAATGGGCAGATGGACAAAAAACAACCACATGACAATAAATGCACTACATAAAACAATACAATAGATAATGGTTCATATTTGCGCCAAGTCCCACGAGAAGAAGGCCAGGTATTTTAAGTACATTCTTGTAGTGGCCTACAACTTTGGGGTTCGTCGCGTGATGTCATTGGGCCCACAAAGACTTTTCCTATGGACTTACACCGGGAGAAAGATATGTTTGAATCAGCGGCTCATTTTTTTAGCTAAATCAACTTCAGAGTACGTACACTTGAATGCCCCTTATTTTATGTATATACACATATATGTGGCCCTCTCCCTATATAAGCCCCATGGTCCCTCTCTGCTCACCGTGAGTCTCTTGTCAGGGTTGACTTCTATCATTCCTTTAAGCAAAGCTTGACATTCAGGAGGTATAAAGTGGGGCATGTGGAACACCCCACTCTTCACTTTCTCGAGAAGCTGGCGCAGGTTATCATGGTCAAAGGGCAAGGCACCCTGGGAAGGGGATGGGAGAAGATACAGAAAGACGAGGAAATAGGATGAGAGAGATGCAAAGAGATTAAATAGTTTAGTGGCACCAAAACGTGTTACACTCAGCATAGTTAAAGGAATAGTTTAACAATTTGTGTAATAGATATATTGTAAAAAAAAAAAATAGTTTTGCTACCACAAGCAGCCAGTAAGCTTAGCTTAGCATAAAGTCTGAAAGCCTGTCTAAGGTATCTAAGTATCTAAGGTAACAAAATATGCATACCAGCACCTCTAAAGCTACATACTACTACATTTATGGATTAAACAAACAAGATATAACATGTGACTGTAAGAGCTTCAGAGGTGCTGGTAGGCGGATTTTGTCACCTTTGTCGAACCATTCCTTTAAAGGCACCCTGTGGAGTGTTCTTGTAGAACAATACAGCTATGTCTTTGTGTTATGTTTCTCACAAAAAAATCCATTGTACGTATATGTAACGCTTTTAAATCCATCCTTGTCTAGTTATTTCTGCTTTTTGTTGGTGCATTGCTGCATTTCTTGGCAGGTTACCGCCACCAACTGTCATGCAGTGGAAAAGTCACGTCACCCACGCACTCTTGCATCCCACTACCTCGCTAGTCTGATGCACAAGATATAAACAAAATGGTGACCGGCTCATTCATCACAACATTGCTCCAGGCTGCCAATAGTTGTCAACATCTCCACAGGGTACCTTTAAGATTTAAGGCTGATACGCTGACAGTCTGGCTTGAGAGAAGACTGCATATGAGGTTCAATGGGATTCTTGTTCTTTGTGACTTAAATAGCGGGAATCAAAGGGCAGAGAGAAAAAGCAACTCAATACTGGAAAAAAAAGAAAAAGAATAAAAGTATCTTCTTACCACCAGAAGAGCAAAGAGGATGACTCCACAGCTCCAGACATCGGCTCTGCGACCGTCATACTTCTCTCCCTGAAACCAAAATGCAAAGACATGGAAGCATTAGACTTCACACAGACTCCCACACACACACACACACACACACACACACACACACACACACACACACACAAACACACACACACACTAACACAATAACACACTGAAATGGGAAGTAACTAACCCTTATGACCTCTGGGCAAGCATAATGTGGGGATCTGTGAAGAAAGAAGAGGCTATTATTAAATGATTTAACCAGATGCAACCATGCACACAGATAAAGGACGCAGGTGCTGATTTGATGAAAAAGCTCTTTTATTGATTGATTAGACTGAATAGGTGAATCCAGGCGAACAGCTACACTCCCTTACTAATTGTATGTGTTACATCCACGTTGCTCCTGATGGGCAGGCAGTTTAAAAAACGCTTAAGCTTTTAACGAACAAAGTCATCAATTATGTAAAAAGACACACAATAGAGCGCTGAGTAGATGTTCCTAATGTTCTGCACACTTTGTGTATGTCACCGAATTTACATGATCATATTTGTAGTTAATTTACAATACCAGATGTTATTTAAATAGGCAGATGAACAAGTCGCACCCAGGCGGCAACCTCCGGGTCTGAAACGTGAAGCCAATGGGGGAAGAGCCTTAAAAAATTGCATTCTTTCTGATGGCCATCAGGGGGCCTACTTCTCACTTGACTTATTACCTCAGTAAATTTCGTATACATGAGTTTATGGTCTCAATCGCTAGTTTCATGTCTTCCTCAATACAGCATGATGTTCATTTAATAAATTATGGTCCCATTTAGAGTCAAATAGACCATAAAGCAGAATATGGTTTAGGGTGGGGCTACTTTGTGATTGACAGGTTGCTGCCAAGGCTTTTTGTTTTCAGTTCATGAAAGTTAATTGTAGCATTTTGTTGGCCGACAAATTCTGCGTTTGGTTGTACTTCATCTTGTGTCACTTCTGGTTGCAAAAAAACAACATGGCGACGGACAAAATTCCAAACTCGAGGCTTCAAATCGGCAATCCATAAACCAATGGGTGACGTCACGGTCACTACGTTTACTTCACATGTACAGTCTTGGTCCCACATATGAATTCAAGCTAATTTTAGCCTCATCGATCTAATCCAGTACTCACCCACAACTGGTTTCCAACAGGCTGTCCCCAACTTGTAGTGAGGCCATGCCGAAGTCTGCTATCCTGATGTTATTCTTCTCATCCAATAGAAGATTCTCTGGCTTCAGGTCTCTGTGACTGGACACACACACAGACACATATGTTCAATGAAAGTCTTTTTCCAGACCATAAACCACAGCTACAGCTAACCTTGTTTGTACGCTTGGTAGACTTTCACATGATATGTAAATATTCATAGCAAAGGGGAGTGCCACTGTTCATTAAAGCTTAGTGATCTGCAGTGCAGTTCACTGCACAAGGACGCACGTGAATGCACGTGTGGATGACGCAATGCACAGCTCTGCTTGTTCGGATGTTTTGAAGTGCTACCTCGAGCGGTTAGTTAGTTAATTTGTGCCATTGTGTGACTTTGGTGTTTTAAAGGGTTAGTTTGGATTCACCCAAGTCCCACAATAAAACAAACTAACCAACCGATCGAGGCAGCAGTAGACCAGCAACTCCTGTATTCTGCGAGGTGAAATTATTGTTTTTTTTGTGGCGGCTTTGGACAAGAGCATATAACGGCTTAAGTTCCCTGTTGGAAACATAGACTGCATTGCTGTCTCACAGGAAGGTGAACTGGTGATAATATTCTAAACATAGCGTACACTTAAACTGATATTGATTCTTGTTCAAATACATTTAGCTGCTGAGCCCATTCCACAGCAGCACATTGCTTTGCTTCCATTATTCCAGTCTGTTTCTCGAAACTGGGGGCGTGCCGACCGATATCTACTATACACTGACTATGGATGAGTACCTCATACAACCCCACTGGTGTCGGGTCACGAGACCACCTCATAAACGCAGAGTTTTGACTTGTGTTCACTATAGCCCAATATTAAAAATATATATGTATATGTATATTTTTTGCCATTTACTGGACAGTTGATAGTGAAGAGGCAGACAGGAAACAAGGGAAGAGGGTTAGATTGTAGGTAGGTTATGGATAGGCGTCGCAGAGGTAGCTGGTTGGGGTTAGGGTAAGGTTTGAGTTAAGCACCGTGGAAAACGACTGGTTGTGGTTAACAATACATTTTGTCTCATTTTAAGGTGAGGGGAAACACCAATCGATGGGGGAACAGACTTTGACTCAACACCGACAAATAGCGACAAAACGGGTTGAGAGACAAAACTGTAAATGATACAACAATGAAAGAAAGGGCGGGCCTTAAGGTCAGCAGCCTCTCACAGACCATATGGAGTGACTGTGGCAGAAGTCGAGGGCGGAGATGATTTGTCTGAAGAACTTCCTGGCCTCTTTGGGGGTCAGCCTGCCCTTCTTCACCAGGTAGTCGAATAACTCTCCGCCGGACACATGCTCCAAAACCAAGTACCTGGGGGAGGGGGGGGGGCGAGGACAGGGGAACATGTGAGACTTCATGCACACAAGCCATGGATGCTTCCTCCATACATAAAAACTCAAACAGACACCCACAACCCTCTATATCTCCCGTGTCATGCGGTTATTATTTTCCCTTTCAGATTCAAGGTTGTTCCTTCTCTGGTGCAGATCCAGAGGGAAGATTAAAAAAAAGAAAGAAAGAAAGACAGTCAGCGGAAAGGAGAAAGATAAAGAGATACTCACAGGTATTTGTTATTCTCATAGACATCATGCAGCTTCAGAACGTGAGGGTGCTCTATTAGTTTAAGAATAGCTATTTCTCTCTCCACCTGGATGGACGCAGAGAAGAGGGGACGTGTGGAGAAAGGTTAAGAAAGAGGGAGGGAGGGAGGTTAAAAAAGAATGGAGATTGAAATGTCAGGAGGAAGAGTAGGTGTATATGATGGAAGGCAGAGAGAGAGAGAGGGAAGAAGCAAGTATAAAGGCAGAGTTAGGTCAAATGTGGAGCAGAGGGAGGCAGTATTAAATGTTAATGTCAAATTGTTTAGTGTTCATTTATAGGCAGAAACAAGTTAGATTGAGTTGTAGACAGCGAGCAGAAAAAGCAAATCATCATTTACACCGATGAAGTGTGTTTTTAAAAGTTTGAAGGATAAATGGAAGAAAAAAAGGGAGGAACAAAGCTTAAGTGCAGGCCTGTACTTTAAGCTAGCTCAGACCGATACCTCCTCATGACTCAGACTTAAAGCTGCACTAATCAATATTTTTACATGAAAAATTGACCAAATAATTCTCATCTACGGCACCGGCCGTCTGTTTTTGGCAAAAAGAAACTGTAAAACTCACTGTAAACACCCTGCTCAGCACCAAACAGACACAATATTAGACTCACACTATCCAGGTTGCATGAAAAATGCTCTCAAATGAACACTAATGTTGCTCCGCGTCTGCTAGATGTGTAAAAAGGCAACCGTTTGCTAACGCTAAGCTAAGTTGCTAAGCTGCTCAGCCATATCAACATTAAAAGATGACATTATGTCACTTGTTTATTTACGGCTCGTTAAAATCTTCACAATGAAAGTCACCGGTAATTTTGCTGCTTACTCTTCCTCCTTGCAGTATCTGCAGACCTGTTTGCTTCCAACAGAGATAAAAACCTTTAATCTCCTATAAATTGTTCATGATATATGTCCCATACTACTTTGTTATTCAAGAGCTTTATTTTGAAGGAACAAGTGTACAGACTTGACAGTTAATATGTCCTGTCGTGATCGGATGACAACAGTCGCATTGAGAGGACAAGCGTTACCACGGCCACAATGACCAAAATAACCCATAAACCTTCATAAGGTCATGTGAGTGTTGTATTAAGATGGACTTCAAAATATCCAAACCTGTCCTTTAAAATGAATCAGTTATATTTCATATGTTTATCAGCTCTCATTTCAGCACCAGCAGCTGTCTATAGCATGACCTACTAAACATTCACTCACGCATATGGGTTCGCTCTCCACATGGTGGGGGGGGGGTGATTACCGGATGGTACATTCATGGTAAAGTTGTTCTCACTGTGATCTAAGGACTCTGTAAGGTATAAATGTTTTGATGAATCCCTTCATTTAAATCCATAGTCCATTGGTAGCTATTTGCCGATCCCTAATTAAAAAGATTTGATTAAAAAGAAATGGATTGTGATGATCCGCTGTAATAGATAAATACATTTAGTGGCCACTTTATTAGGTACCCCTGCACAGTCTAATGCAATCCAATACAACAGCCCGTCCACGAACAAGTGCTTTTTCAACTGTGACCTCAATAACAAACAAATAATTGAATTAACACCTCGATAACAGTAAAAAAACAAACTTTATAGACATCGTAAAAGTCGACTTCATGGCAGCACAGTTGTATTGGATTGCATCAGACGGCTGTGTGTTGGTAAGAATCTGGCGATGCGATACATATCACGATACAGGGGTTACGATTCAATATATTGTGATATATTGTGATGCTGTAAGCAAGGCAATATATTGCAATTTTTCAGACTAATTCTAGGAAAACTGTCTTAAAGAACACACCGCCATATGCATTAAAATCTGAGTAAAAAAAAAAGTTTATTTAAATTATGTAATCAGAACAGTGGGAGCTTTATTTGCATTTATCACAGTCCGTAACAGCCAACATCATAGCGCTGCTTTTTTGTGCAATTTGAGCCACCGTCTGTCACGAGTCTCTGCACATAAATTATTAAATTAACAGCGTTTTTGAGAATCGATACAGTATAACGAAGCATAACATCGCGATACTCAAGTGTGGGCTATATGTTTTTTAGACTGTGCCTATAAAAGTGGACGCCGAGTGTAAACGAGAGGATGAGAAGTGGTCAACAGCTGCCAGAAAAATGCTCACAGACTTGTTAGGTTTTGCCTCTGTTGTCGTGCTGTCGACTCAGAGCAGGAAGCTAAGAGACACATCTAGAGTGTCGACAGGAAAAGGCTACTTGTAGTTAAACATGCTTTAGCTGACCCAGTAATGCGGTTACTGGCAGTTAGCACCCCCGAGTAGGCAGTGGGCAGCTTTCCAAAGCGATACAAGACAAGGGTGATACTATAAACCAGAGGAATGGGGACCGGTGGCATTTCCAGGTGGATGGAGGTTTCGTCGGTGGTGCAAAAGAGTTTTAATCACGCACTTGTCTAGATTCTATTCAAATCAGTGTTTTTTTTGAAGATTCTGGGATACGTATGTGTATTTACAAGTTCATCCTTTTTTGAAAATGTTAGATTCAGTGTTTTCTGTTTACAAACGTAGAATGGAACGTCGGTTCATTTTAGCCAAAGACTCGGTAGCTGCAAACCACCATTCCTCGAGGCCGTACCGTTTTTTTGGCGAAAGTGCTTTTAAAGATCTTGCACCCTCATCTCGGCTTGAGCTACAGAGACGTTTTCAACTCGATTATTTTATAAACGCGCAGGATTTTAAAAACAGGATTACAGATCATCTGTGCTTGTCCTGACACTGAAAGACAATTCTTCTATTCTTTCGCTGCTGCGATGTGCTGGTTTGTTTTAAGTCTGTGGCCTCGGTCATGTGAAACTTTTTTTTATGTTTTCACGATGCATTTTTCCCGGTTTTGCTTTTTTTAAAATCTGTTATTTGTGTTTTGAAATGGGAAAACTTTTACGCCGCCATCTTGGCCAGGACGAACCCCCTTTTTGCAAATGAGATTCAAAATCTCAACGGGATCATCCCGGCTAGATAAAGGTTACGTAAAGGTCAAATAAAAATACTAAAACACACAAAGCCACAACACAACTATTTGCTTGGGCCCCACGTTTTCCCAGGTGCAACCTTTAAAAAAAGAGAAACTAGTAGTCGGCCACATTAGAAACGCAAATGTGGAACAGCTTTGTTTCTTTTTTTTTATACTTTTTTTCAGTTTTTCAGTTTTCATGTATGTAGCTTTCATCAGAGGGCTTAATTAGCAGAATGGAATCATCTCCATTGTTCTGTGCACAGAAGCAGTGTGCCCACACACTCGGCGGCTCCACTTTGCAACACGCAGACGGGGCTTTTTTTACTTGACTAAAATAAAAAAAGACATTTGTGTTGCTATTTCCGCAGGCTGGAGAGAGCTGCAAGCTGGCTCGATCCGGAGCTTTGTGGCTACTGAGGTGACAGTCGTGGGGATGGGTACGGGGGTCAGACACGAGCACAGCGTATATATACCTTCATCAGGACCGATTCGGAGAGTTTCTCTCTGTTGACAATCTTGATGGCCACCTTCTGTCCTGTTATGCAGTGGACGCCCAACTTCACCAGCCCTGAGGGACACAAAGAGACACGGGGGGAGAGGGGGAGAGACAGAGAGAGAGAGAGAGAGAGAGAGAGGTAGAGAGACTGTTTGATATCTCAAATCATCATGCAGTGTGAAAACAGGAAGGGAGGCATGTCATAAATAATTCAAAAAAGCTTTACTGACATTGTCACAAACATGGGCTAAACTCGGCTCACATAAAGACAGAATAGAATGTGGATGCACTTTCAAAAAATACGTGATGAATTTCGTTTTAGATCCTTTAAGAGGTTGTGATCAGAATAAAAAGAGGCTGGGTGAATAAAGCAGTGATTCTGAATGCTAGAATCAGCTGTTCGCCCTGCGAGAGGACCCCCCCCCCCCCCCCGCCCCACCTTACCTGTCTGTCCCTTCCCGAGGGTCTTCTCCAGCCGGTAGGGCCCCACGTACTGGTTGGACGGGCCCACTGTCAGCTCCTTGCTGCTCATCCTGAAATTCTATACACTCGCGCTGCGAGGCGGATCAAGACGGCGGTGGCTCCTGTGCGTAACGCCGTAGCGCCGCACATCCCAGGGCGGCTCTGGAGGCGATGGGAGGACTGGTCGTGATTCTAACGCCGGGCCCTGCAGGCTACTCCCATGCACTTGTTTGTCATGCGGGCCAGCCGCTCCGGCGCCGGGGAGAGTGAGAACCGGTTTCCACCGTCTCAGCACAGGCCTAGAATAAAGTATTACCCGGGCTGTTCTTCTTCGGTTTCGCGTCGCTTTCAGGGCGGCACGGAAAGCAGCATGATTCAGAGTGGAAAGAAGAAGAAGAAGAAGAAGAAGAAGAAGAAGAAGAAGGACGCGTGAGGTTTTGACCGGTGATGATGGGAGGAGGTATAGTCCCACCGAGCCCACCCCCACCTTTTTGCTATAAATAACAGTAGTTTAAAGCTAATTGGTGTGTTAGCTTATGCAGCCGGCTAAAAGTGGAGCAGAAGAGAGAGGTCTCATTCGGGCTCTGCATTGGCCACAGATTGATTCCTGTAAGAGCAGGGTCTCAAATATCCCGAGTCAGAATGCCCCTGATTGAATCCATTCTCTGATCGATATCAGGGACCCCCCCTCCACACACCCTCCTCCTCCTCCTCCTCCTCCTCGCTGCTGCTACCGTCCAAAAAATGTTTTCACCATCCTTCCCAGGCTCGTACATTCCCCTCCTCTCTCTCTCTCTTGTCTCCCCTTCTCTCGCCGGGCCTCTCTCTCTCGGTCAGGAGACTGCCTTTTCTCTCTCTCTCTCTCTCGTGCAGATGCCCGCGCGTCGTCCAGATAATAATCTATTATCACAACAGCATCAGCCAGAAGAATGGGTTTTCCAATATCCGGTGCACACTTTGGCTCACCCCTCCCCGGCCCTGCATCAGGAAATAGAGGAAGAGAGAGAGAGGGGAGGGGGGGAGAGCATTAAAAAAAAGAAGAAGAAGAAGAAAAAAAAAGGCAAACAGCCGCGGGGGCCAGACCGGGCGAGACGGGACGTGGGGCGGGGGGAGAACAAGCGACCCTCGGTTCGGGACGGTCGCGGCTGAGAGGAGAGGTGCGCTCGGTGTGCCGGCGTCAAGATCAGCGCTCGGCCCGGTGATTAATCCTGCTTCTAGAAACAACAAGCATCCTCAGCTGGCCTGGTGGTGGTAGCAGACTCCCGTCCCTCCCTCTTCCTTCCTCCCTCCTTTTCTCTCTCCCTCTCTCGCTTTCTCTCTCGCTCTGTCTCCCTTGTCTCTCTCCCCTGGCCGGCTGTGCTCATGATATCACCGCATCTCCTCCCGCAGCCCGGCGCTTTGGCTGTTGCCTCCCGCACAAATGACAGTAATTTGAAAGAAAAATAAGAAAAGACAGAAAAAAAAGAAATTCGCCTGTGGAGAAAATGAATCTTTCAGGTTATATGAGAAGTTGCCCGCACCCAACAGGAGTGTCCCTCGTTCACGGGATGGCCTCTTCTTCTTCCACTCCGCTGCTGCCGGTAATACCCCTGCTTCTCTTTCTCTCTCTTTTTTTTTTGTACCCCCCCCCCCCCACCTCTCACACTCCTCCTCCTCCTCCCTCCTCTCTCTAGCTTCCTTCTCCTCATCGGTCAGCATCAGCATCCGGGTTCCGTTGTCTTTCCCCCCCTCCCTCTCTCGCCCCCACCCTTTTTTACTACGGCAAAAAGTCCCACATTATGTGGTCGGCTGCAAGTACAGAAGAATACCAGGCTTCCAACCAAGTAGCACATGGTCCAAGTCAGTAACACGGATAAATGGAAGAATATCAGATTCATATAAACCAACGACAAAATATGGAATTTTATAGAAATAGTGGGCGACACTCATACCACGCATGTGTTTGATTCATGATTCTTGAATGCATGAATTGATGTGTAAGTTGCTTACCATTCTTCTTTATGTGCCATTTTTAAATGATCATATGTGTTTAATGTTGAGTAGTGATTTGCAAACGAGTATCACAACATCACTCAAAGGAGCTGAATGGGACACTCAGAGCACATGTTGACTCTCAACGGCTCTCAACATGGCGACGGATGAGACGGCGGCTAGCAGCTAACAGTGCTAGCAGCGCCAGTTGGAATGATGGACCACTTTCCTGGACGCCGCAAGGGAAAACAAACCAACAGTCAGACGGATTATTGAATGATGAATATGTTCTTACGGTGATGGCACAAAATATATGGAACAAAATGATTTTGTGTCCAAAAGTTTTATGTAATTATTGTAACTATAAAATGCAGGTTTCTCTTATTATTGGGAGCTATATATACGTAACATCAGGTTGTAAATTCCGTCGAGGAGAACGGCAAAAAATAGTGACTTCCTTCTCTGCTCAGGTAGACATTAGTCCTCCATATCTTAACATAGCTGCAGGAATGAGTCCTTAAACCAGGACATGAGAAGTCAATGGGGGTTTTGCGTGGGATTTTAGTTAGAACACAAGCTTAAAGGTCCATAATACGAGATTGAGAGCGTTTCGATTGCCTCTCAACAGCTCTCAACATGGCCCCCGTGGTGCTAACTGTTTAACGAACCGACAAAAGTCAGCTGAGTCATAACTATCTCACATGTGACATGATTATGAACACTTCATTTCATAAAATAAGATTTAAAAAAAAACGTGTGTTCCGAACCCCTGGCTTGCTTGTGACTTAATGTGGCATAAACGGCTTTTACGTGCTTCATTCTGTTTCAATAAAATTCTGTGAAAATACATTTTGGAAAACACTCAGCTGATGAACAGCCTCTGTTCGCCTCTGACCCGTGGGACGGTCCATGACGTGCACTTACAAAACCACAGGCTTCTGGGTCACTGCATGCTGTGATTAAGGTTCCTCATTGTGATATCTGTATGACGCCGACTCCCAAATCTTTATCCCTTTTAATCTTAATCTCTTGATGCGGTCAGGATGATGTAGTTCAGATTATCTAATGGTGCCGTGCTTAAATATGCGCCTGTGAGTTTATTTCTGTGTGATAGATGGTTTTTCCACATGAACAAGTTATGAGACATAAACATAGTTTTTTGTCACAGAGATAGAGCTTCTTTTCTCTCCACTATATGATGCACCTACAAAACCTCCATAAATACATGCCCTACTACAAAAAATGCTTCTCTAAGTGTTTATTAAATATCTCTGGGAATGATTCTTACAGAATGAACTCAGAAATATGCTGGTAACAATAATATGCCAACATCTCCACAGATACCAGTAAAGTGGTGGTACCTGCTATTGTAAGTGCATTTCTGACCACATGATGGTGCTGTTGTGCTATTGTATGAGCTACCATTTTTTTCACCATGTAATGAGCACCATTATGAATGGCCAACACAGAACATTGTAGTCTCAAGAGGGTCGCTGTCATCTGTCTTTGTCTGGATTCAGTCCGTCTTTGTCAGCTGTCATTGACAACCACTATGTGAGACGGTGCCTTTTTAGTTTGGTATAAGGTGGCAGGCCGACTTACCAACAGTGGTGGAAAGTAACTATATACAGATATTAATATTTTCTTACTTTCCACTTTTACTCCACTGCATTTTAGACGGCGTCGTTGTAATTGTTGCTGCTCTACATTTTTTGGACAGCTAAAGTTACTCGTAATGTATTTTACAAATGTTACGTTAAAGCATAAATTGTAATCGAATTTACCTCTTACCTTTTTATATAATATTATATTTTCTCATATATAATGATGATTCTACGGAACCCCTGACAGGCAAAAGAGAAAAAACTATTCTGGCGATCCATATTCTGAGACTGATCTCAATTGTTTTCTCTCCCGTGTTTATGATTTAAAAACGTGTTTAAAAAAAAGGTTGAGGGGTTACCCCCCTTTGGCCCTTCAAGCTCTTCTCTGCAGCTCTTCTCTGTAAAGATAAGGCTGAAGATTACAGTCTGGCTTTGGTTATAATTTAATTGTTCTGTATCAGTGTGTGTGTGTGTGTGTGTGTTTGTGTGTTAGGATATAGGACATGGTTTGCTCTCCCAGATGTTGATACCGGGGGGAACATTCCTGGAACCATAGCGAGCCTGTTTACACAGGTCATAGATGCTGTTTACTGAGTTACAACACATGTGAACACCTGGACTGTCTTATGAGCTTCCATGCTGCTCATATTTTGCACAGAGTCATTACAACTTTATTATGTGACAGTATGAAAATACCCAATGAGTGGTGTATGTGGGGCTCCATCGTGTGGTTGTTTTAAAAAATGAGAGAAATCCAACCTAAAACTATAACTACTTCTTAATATGGAGATAAGTTTTCAAATTTGTTTTATTGGTTAAAAAATAAATAATGCAGGACTAATTGGGGGGTAAAACTGGAAGCTGACTGAGGTGTATTGAAAAATGTTACTGTTAATTCACTAGTGGGAGGTATTTAAATTGGACTGTTTTTATGTAATAAACACTCGGATAAACTATATTTTCTGTTGTTTTGAATGACAGTCACAAAGCATTTTTACACGACTATACTATGATTTTTAAGTGTTACAAACATGCGCATAGTGGCTTTTAACTCCACACACACCTCTGACTGAAAGCAGAGGGCAGGCTAATCTGGGAATGTGTGGGTGTGATGCCAAAAGGAGTTTGAATGTACCCTTTGGGGCTGGAATAGTATAGCCAAACAGACAGCTGACAAGTATTGATGTCTGCTCATGAGTCTATCTTTGTGTGAGTGTGTGTGTGTGTGTGTGTGTGTGTGTGTGTGTGTGTGTGACCTGAGAATCGCCTCTTACTTGGTTTCTTTAGGCAGTATTTAGATGACTACCTTGCACACTTAAGAGTTTCCTTTTGATCCCCAATTTACAACTGACTGATGTGCAATGTGCATGTACAATTAAATGATTATTTGTATGTGCTAAAGTGTGATGAATGATGGTAGCCTACACTGATTACTACTGTACCAAATATACAAAACTTAGCTGCATCACTTACATCAATGTCTAAAATCAAATGATCTAAAATAGATTAATTTACTCTGGTTTGTGTTTACAGACCCTAAAAAATTGTAAAAGGTTAAAGGGAAATGTGTCAATGACGACACTTGAGTAACAAAACATCTTCAGTAACTTTCAGTGAACCCGTGTAGATATACACCAGTTAGTTCTGTACTATAGGCTATACAAATATATCTACTGAACTGCAGTATTTTAAAACTCAAAAAAAGAGTTAGGCTACTTTGCTCACAACGTTAGCTCGCTAACACCACGTGGAGCTTTTTAGTTTAGTTTGAAATTATGAGAAAGGAGACATTAAATCACACACCTGTACAAAATGTCAAAGACAGCACAACAAAGAGGTAGATTTAATTCCATGCTCATCCTTGATGAAGACTTCTTAATGTTAGCTAGCTAGTTAACTTCATTAGCATTAGCTTGGAGGCTAAAATGCAATAACTATTGTTTTTAAGGGTTTGTGCAGTGATGCTACAGCAGTATGCGGTTTAGCATATGGATGATTGACATAACGTGCACTAGGTAGTGCAGCTTTATGCCAAAAGTTAGCCTTAGCTAGGTAGCTAGCTGTAATGTGTCTGCATGTAATGTTAGAATAGTATCTCAGCACAATGGAAACAAGGCTGATGGAAAGTCTACTAGAATCTTTTTTTCTTGGTGGACACAAATAAAACGTCACCTTTCAAAGCCACTCCCCTAAAATTACCATTATCAATTTAAACATATAATGAACGTATGCAACGACCATGGCTATAGGGATTAAGTATTTTTGGAGGCAAAAGTTGGAAATTAGCAGTGCACTGGATCCCTCAACATAAAGCCAATGGGATTTTTCTGCAGAATCATAGCAGACTACAGTGACACCCAATGAGAGCATGGGCAGAATATGCGCAGGTAGACGGACAGGTAGGTACACAAGCAGGTCGCCAAATATATACACATATAACACAAAACTAATTTGAAACTATTACCATACCCATCTTTAACAAGGGATACATGTTTTGTAACAGCTTCTTTAAGTTTGTTTTCAGCAATCCTCTGAGTGACTTGTGAAACTTAGGTTTTGGTTTAGTTACACAAGTCACGTCCGAGTGTCGAGTCTACTTTGACTTCAGCCCCTTCAAGCTCATACAAGAATGTTACGTTAACAAAAATTGTTTTCTTTTGGTCTATTTTCCATAAGAATCAAATATATACATACTCCTAAATATTAAAATAGTTCAGACATGCAAGGCAAAAGTCTATGTTCATATTCCAAGTAGAGGTCCAACCTCCAAATGGTGAATAAAAAGAGGCCAAAAATCAGTTTTTTTTATACCAAGTATTTGATACTTTTATTTCCATTTATAAGTATTCATCTCAAGTCGACAATTTACAGTACAGCTCAGCTCTCTGGAATTGTCTACAGGTCGATGTGCTGCATGTCAGCTGCAGAAGGAGAAGGGGAATGGCGGTAAGACTGAGGGACACCTGATAAGCCTATAACGGGTGGGGAGGGGGGAGGAAACTGTGGTTACTGCCACCACATCCCAAATTCAGCCCAAATCAACACTTTTGTCACGCATGATCATCCTTATCATCATTATCGTCATCATTCAGTTCAGTGTTGTTGTGGAGAAGGGAATGCTGGGAACTTGGAGGACTCAGTGCAGTGGACCTGGAAGAGAGAGAAAAAAGCAAAACATTCTCATTTTTGAGTTTTTCTTGATTATTTTGCTGCTTTTCCTTGCTGTTGTCATATCATATTTGGGTTTTCCAACTCTTTAACAGTGGGCCTTTTTCCCAGGAGACATTTTGACTTGTCCCAAATAGTGAGTCAGCATAAAACTAAAGGCGCTACATTGAATCCAGCCATCATTCATTGTATTATTTACACCTGTGCTTTTCCTACCGTGACATGTCAAAGTGTCTTCCATGAAAAAGGCCCGTTACTCTGCAACGGTTACACTTTGTTGACAATTGTCTGCTGAAAGTGAGCGCGTCTGAATGCGACTCACAGATATAGCATCATTCGTTAATTAACCCCCCAACCTGAATTGCTTCGTGTCGACTATGAATGAATCGGCAAATTGTGTCCCATCCTTACATTCGAGGTTGGAGGGCGACTCCTCATGACCCCTCAGCTGCACTCTTCACACAAGCAGCAAAAGCCTCCATCAGATCTTTGCAGCCCTCTGCTCCCTTCTCTGCCACGCTGCAAAGAAAGATTTAACCGCTGTTAGAATAAACATTGCACGAGTGATTGTTGCATTTCAATGTCACCTTCTCGCACAGATGGCATGCGAGCTGGAAACAGAAAGAGGAATGACAGGAGGCTTTAGTCAGCAGCAGTGGACTCAACTAAGTCCCGGTCCAACTAATTCTGTTGACAGAGCAGTTGGGCGTCTCATGTGCAAACAGGTTTTAATGGCAGAAACAACCATTAAAAAGTTATTTTTCCTTCTCTTTAAGATTTTCTAAAGACATGGAAAGTGACTAATGTCGTCAGGGTGCTGAGCATCTCCCCCCAATGATCAACTTCTTCACACAGTGTGATCCCAACCACTTTAACAACCAAAATGAAGGACATCCGGTGAAATGTTCCCACAATGACGACTGTTCTGTGAGTTTGAAATGCAATGGTTGACGAAGAGAAAAAAAAAACACAAGACAGAAGGAAGAGACAAAAGGGGGATGAAAGTGAGAGAGAGAGAAACAGAATGCGGGCTAACACAGGAGCAAACACAGCAGCAGACAGTGCCACAGTGCATTAGGGTGATGGAGCGAGAGGGAGGGAGGGAAAGAGAGGGAGGAGGAGGGAGGGGTAGAGAGAGCCATGTGGGTGAGCCCATCTGTTTGATGGGACACCAGAGAGGGAGGGAGGGAGGGAGGTTGCGGGATCATGCAGAGATGACAAGACACGGAGGTAAGAGGGCAGGCCAGCAGGAGGCGGAGGAGGAGGCGGGGTTTCACGATACATGAATGTAAACCCATCCTTTGGCTCCTCCTATCACTTCATGACACATCCCCTCTGTTCTGCTTTTCCTCCAATCCCTTCTCAACCCAGGGCAGCAATGCTCCTCTCCATCATCTCCTAAACATCAGCCATCCAACCATCCTGGCTCAAATTCAAAATAAAGCAGCCACTGCTTACCATATAAAAATATATATATATATATTTTTTTTTTGCTATGGCCTACTCATTCAAAAAATAAGGTTGGTGTTTTTACAGAGTGAGCAACAGACATTCAGTGTATAAATATTCAGTTAATACTTCTCTTTATGGTCGTTTTCATCGATAGTTACACGCATATTCTCAGGAGACTCACAGGAAACAATGCATGCATGTTATTCAGTGATACCGTTTGTACTTGTATCTCATCATCAGCCTCACTACTGTTCCCTCTATCACAATAACTGTATTAAAAAAGTGCTGGATTCCAAATTCAGAGCATTACTTATTTACATATGTACATTAATACTTCCCAAGACCTGTAGGCCTATAATGCCCTGTCTTTTATTTTCAGCTTTGTGTCATCAGTCAAAACACACAACAGAGCAGAATTACTGCAAATCTACAGTAAAAACATTGGAAACGCCATCACATGAGAGCTTCAAAGCCATTTTAATACACTAGCTTTGGGTCATCTCTGCTGCCTTATCTCTTTGTGTGGCGGCCGGGTGGTGATGTAACACACACAGCTAGCTGCCGCAGATTATCACTCAGCACTTTACTTTGCCAGGAGGGATGGAGCGAAGTGTGTGTGTGTCTGTGTGTGAAGATGAGAGCCATCGACTTTGTGTCGTTGCAGGCGTGCGTCCCTGGTGGTGTGTTGTAGCGCGTGCGCCTGGACGGAGTCAATGAGGGTTTATGATTGGCAGAGAGTCTGACCCGGAGGCTGTCGATAATCCTGCTGCAGCAGCGTCGCTCCACCACAACACACATGTATGTACTCCTCCACCTCCATCCTAACAGGAGCCGACTGAAGGAGCGTTAGCAACGCTAGAGAAGCCTAAAGAAAGTCTCATCGAACCAGTTAGGGCTGTATTACGCAACAGGGGAAATGTGGGCTCTACGCAATTGTGTATTTTTCAAAATAAAAGCACTGCCCTTTATTCTAAATCTTCTAATATCATAATATCAACGCGCATTAATTCTACAGATTCTCTCATGTGATTCATTTTCAGATCTCTGTATATACATGCATGTAGTATGAAGTGCACACCGGGGCCATTACAGAAAGCATCAGAGGCAGGGCTGGTCACATGGACAAGCAGGGAGGGGGGGTTGGGTGTAGAGGAGCCAATGACATCACCACCACCGCGGCCATTACGCAATCTCCTGAGGGGAAACACGGCTCAGAGCGAGGTCCCGTTACAGTGTCATAGGGCACGGGGTTGTAATGGCGACCAGTGGCCGAATAATGTAGGCCAATCCATACTCAATAGACTCATTACATAATGCGAAAAAGTTTGACTCTGAATTCATCTCCATAACTGGTGGATCGCCAGCATGATTCGTAATCCGAAACCACCGCTGCCGAGCACCGGCCGCATCCTGATCACCGCTCAGGAGAAGCGACGGCGTCCTCCCGTCTCGGACACGATCAGGAAATGAGGGCTGAATTATTTAGACTGATCTGGCTGTAGCAAGTCCCCTGGGACGCGCATGCATAATAGATCACCGAGCAGGTGCACGCAGTCCACGATGATGTAGAGGCCAAATATTAGTGAAGAGACCATGTGATTAAGGCTATCATCTCGTGGGGATGCTGTCCCCGGGGCGTCTCGGGACAGCGTTTCCCAAACTTTTTGGCACTTGTGAACTGCCGTCACCGGTTGCATGACGTAATGCTGTGTAATGCCTGTCCCAGGCTGTTTATAATCTCATGACCCCTCAGATTAAAATAATCAATAATAATCAAATAATTATTCACCGCTTCAGGCAGCAACAAAAATGACACCCAGCTCCAGTTTGTGGCTCTCATGTGTTTACCATTAATTACATTACAATATATACCATTACATTCAAGTCACAGAGCCAAGCGTCTGTGTTCCTTATATACTTTTCTCTATATAAGCCCACATCAAAAAAGTTGGACCGCCCCTGATCCAGTTGGACTGGAGACTCTTAATACAACTATGAAATGTGTAATCTATAAGAAGACCTTCTCAGAGACATGAGTGCACAACTTCAGAGCAGCGCTCAGATTACAGCAGAGTCACCAAATTCCATAACGAGAACCACCAGCACAGATTCCAGTGGCAAGAATGCACATGCGTGTCTGCACATACGTCCGCAGGCAATCAGTTACAGAGACATGGGTGTGTTTTTGTGTGTGTGGAGGTCAAAGGAAGAGGAGGGAGGGTCTATATGTTCCAGTCTGATGAAAGAGCCCGGTGTCTCAAAGTACACAGAGTTAGTACATGTTAGCTAAAGGAGTTTGCAAAGTACTATTCGTGGTAAATATTAGCAAAAGAACTAACAGCTCACAAAGCCCACATTCTGCACTGCACATGTCAGCACGGGCCTTATAGATCTACCCTGTTGTTCATCAGGAGCCGCTGCACAAAGCTTCATCTCGTATAGTTCTTTCTAGCTGTGACACATTATTTTAGAAAAGTGAGGAAAAACAAATGTAATGATAGTGAGTTTTTTCCACTCTTATCTAATAGTTATCTTCCTTCAAACAAGTGTCTGCATCTTGAAACGATAAAGTGTCGGCATCTCAGTCAAGACAAATTCAACTACGTTCTAAAAGATGCTGTTGATTTGCATTGAAACTAGCTGAGATATTTGTGCTGCACTGCAGAACAAAGCAGGACTCAATTACAGACAATGAACATAAACAAACAAAGTTACTTTAAGACTACCATAACAATATTCCAGCTGTTGGACAGGGGCATAATTTATGTAACCAAACTTCAAATAAAGGCGTTAAAATGGTTTAACAAATGACTGATGTGAAAGTGAAATGTATACTGTACAACACATGTGACATTTTAAAAGGCCTGCCATGCGTTCTTGTCTCACACATGCTCATATGGCCTGTGGCTCGTACGTCACCTCTGTGTGACTTTGCTGGTGTGACTGTGACAAGGTCAGAGCGACAAGTAAAAAATAATTAAAAAAATAAAACAAATTCTCCCATGTAACCAAATAAAAACAACTTGTCCTGAAACTGTGGAAAAGTGATCAAATCTGACCTAGAGTGAGCATGAAGAGAAGCTCATCACAAGAGGAGAGGGGACAAAACTAAGATGGCCGCCTCCACATGTCTCTGGCTGAGTGTGAATGGGAGGCTGTTCCTTCTTCGGCTGACCTGGTTAAAAGAAGCAGGTGTCGGGTCGAGGGGGTCACATGATCTATGGAAGGGGCCATGTCACGCCGTCCCGCATGTACAGTCTCACTCGTACACACTTCCATCCATGGATTCTATAAATACATAGGGGCTCATGGTGTTCATTACACAGAGCCAGCCATGTGATAGCTACAGTAGACTGGAAGCCGGAAATCAAAAGCCCTAATAAAAACTATCCTAGACGGGTTACTTTCATAGTGACCACCAGTTGTAATCAATGTCAAATTGTTTCCTTGTCTCAAAGTAAATGGGTTTGTGGTCACAGTAAGTGGCTGAAATAAGGTCAGTGATTAACACAAGCTTAAGAGATATTAAGGGTTTTGTTCTACGACATTAAATATTTCAGCAAATACCCTGCTGGTGGGTCTGATGGGACTACAGAGGTGGTCTGGGACATTAAAGGGAACGTTCACCCCAAAATCGAAAACACATGAACTAAATTTCTTCATGAGACTTCAACAAGGTCTGTGGATTATCTTCAGTAACCGGGTCATGATTTCTGGAAAGGGACATGTAGTCCTATTATAACTGAAGATGTTAGTAGTTTAAAGCCTAACGTTAGCTTTTTTACTTCTGACGACTGCATTTACGCTTCAAAAGTGTTTTTTGAAAGGGATCTTGCTGAGCAAAACATGTACATATCATGATCTCTGTTTGCCATAAAGCATGGTTGTGCTTGTGTGAAAAAAAAAGTTGAACAAAAACACTTTTCTTGCAGATGTATCTAGCTGTATACTGGAAGGGGCCAATGTGGCCCTCAGATCAACACCGTTAGCTTAGCGCTATATTTGCTAGCGCTGGAGCCACCTGACTATCCACCTCTCAAGGTCATGGGTTCATGCTCTGCTGATATTTGCAGTCACGACCCCACATGCACTTATCACCTGAAACCGTGACGTGCAGCATGAGAACAACCTTGTCACCATGAACCCATTGCACTGTGCTTTAAAAAGACCCTATGGAGCGCCAACCTTGGCCCAGGCCTTTAACGAGCAGCAATAAACGGCCAACTTTCTCCGTGACCGAACATGTCTGCAGCTTTTAACAGTGATGGATCACTTATGTTCACAGCACCTAAACATGGAGCTGTCACAGAAATGTCAAAGTTATCTGTCAAATCAAAAGGGATCTTGAAGTGTCCTCTGACACTTTATAAGGAAAAAACAATAGGGGGAGGGGCAAAGTTGGCATTTGCAAAACTGTTACACATGATTAGCCCACCACCCATGCCTTGCCTTGCCCCACCAGCCCTCCCTCCTCCACCTCAACCTGCCGTCTTATCTAAAGGCTTCACACACCCACACACCCACCGTCACCTTATCAAGGCCCGACAGGCCACAAAATGTGTCTACTCTGCACAAATATAATTATTAGAAATATCAGCCCTCAAGTGGTCAAGAAATGCAGTTAACTCCTCCTGATGATCCATTTGAAGACCCGGCTCAGTGACCCTCCACACAAACCCCTATCTGTCCAAATGGACCGTTCTAGAGAAGACGTGTGAAGGCTTGATGTGCGCCCAAGTGTTCTATCATTGCACACACACACACACACACACACACACACACACACACACACACACACACACACACACACACACAGAGTAAATACCCCCCAAAATATCTCCGAGCTGCTGGCGTCATTTTTTTCGGTGATATGGCAAAAAAAAGGAGACGGCGACGGACTAAAAGGGAACGCGCCAACGCAAGGTATTCTGGAGAAAGGGAGGCTGGTGATGCAAGCAGATTCCCGGCCTTCATCCATGCGTACGCATGAGAATCAAACATCACCCCACTGCCACACATCATTAATCCCCTAATCACTCTCCCCTTGCATAGGGTACCCCAAGTTCTCATAACCGCTAGCCCCCCCCCCCCCCCGCAGCTACATAGGATGTCGGATTCAGTTACATTTACATGAAAGACTTCGGTCTCTTTTGGTGGTTTTTCACAGCGCCAACCCCCCCAACGTCCTCCGAAGAGACTCCATTTTAGCTTGGTGCGTTTCAGGATGCTGCGGTCTTCCGATGCAGAAGTCGCCATTGGAAGGAATCAGCTGTTGGACAGCTCGTTGTAGGGGGACTTGATTCAAATAGGTCAGGGTTTCGGGTTTTACCTCAAGAACTCTTGAAAGGCAGTGGAGAACTTGTGGAGCGTTCAGGAGGTGCACGAAGCTTCATGTGTGCGAGTTTGGTGTTGTCGTGATGGAAGGACTGAAGGATGCGCAAAATAAAATAAGACACATTCACACAATGTGTAAAAAAAAACGTCACCTACCATTTGTCCAGGTCAGCCTTGATGGTGACACAAGCAGCGGGGACGGGGGCCTCGGCGGGGGCGGCGGCGGTCTCGGAGTCCGACATGTCTGCGGTGGTGCTGGTGCTGGTGCTTGGTGTCTAGGGTGCTTGTCCTGTCCTGTTCCTGTCCTCCGCCTATGGACCCAGAGCCACCGAGAGACACAGAGAGAGAGAGTAGAGAGAGAGAGACAGCAGAGTTGAGAGTGAGTTTGTGGAAGGGGAGGGCGCACGGGAGGAGGTGGGAGGAGATAAACATGTGAGTGAGCAGCACACGTGTGTCCACAGCGGTCAGGGGGATGGGGGGCACAGGGGTGAAGGGGCATTAACCCACAATGAGGTACAAAGGGAGAGGATTGGACAACAGGGGACAAAAGAGATTAAAGGTTGAGGTGTCTGCAAGGAGGAGCTCAACACCGGGAGCTACAACTCTCACCAAAATATGTCAACAGTGGTGGAGAAAAAGTCAACGCATCCATTCATTTCACAGCCCACAACATAATATCATCTCTCCATTGAGTTTGTGCCACCTAGTGGCGGCTTTGCGCAAGAGGTCTCAGCATCTTCTTGCCGCAAATGCAGTCTTTATGGCAGCACACTGCAGCCATGCTTCTTCAAAAAGAAAAGGTCAGGAAACTTAAACGCAGCAAAAACAATGTTTTTCGGGCTGAACTAAAGTGAAAGGACGTTTGTGTTTCATGAGCGTCTTCTACAGCAACATACTGCGTGTATTCGACACCATGTGGTAGCAGCGGCCTACATTGAGCCATGTGGTCTTGTAGGGACAGACTCAAGGTTTTCCAAGGTCAGTCAGAACTTAGTAGGACTTCAGAAGTTTGGACTAAGGCCCGCGACGACTGAGTTACAGTATCAAGAGAATCTTCGGCTTTTACACCACTTTTCCATTTTAATCAGTTAATTTTTCTGTTCACTAATCTAAGAATCCAAGAATATTTGGACATACTTTGGATCCATATAGTTGCAGAACATTAAGAACGTCATTAATAGCTAGAAAAAGGATTTTTTTTGACGATATAGACATCAGCTTCACATTTTTATCTGACCAAAAGCTACCAAACGGAACTGTTTTCCATAAGTTTTAACTTGCAAGTAATTTATGATTAAACTTGGTTTATATTGATTGCAGGATTGCCTACAATAACCAACACTGTAGGAAAAGACAATTTTATTTTTAAATATTACATTCAATTCAATGTTTGTTTTTCTCAATGCTTGGAGTACAAGTGTTAAAGAGTTAATTTGCCTCAATACGTTGCTGGCTTCAGTTTATGTAGCTCATGTTCTTAACAAAGCATGAATGAAACATTATGTGTGTGCACTGCCCCTTCAACGGCATGAAGACATCTTTACGACCCAAGTTTATCGTCCGCCATCACTGCGGACGCTGTAATGTTACATCACAGTTATGTTACATCACAGTTACGCAACAACGTGCACGAGCGGTCGAAGCTGCTGCTTTGCATACAAGCTAATAGCATCGCGGGTTTAATCACGGAAACGCACATTACCTCCGTTACAAAGTTTGATTTCTAACACTAAAACTCTACAGACCGTGCCTACATTTATCTTCGCCCTTTCTAAAACACAGAAAAGTGACTTTAATTAAGTTTATTTTACTATCATTCCGCGCGTCTCGTGCGAGTACCGACGGCTCTTCGAGGCTCGCGACCGCTGCTCCCGCTACACGCCTTAAACCTCTGCTAAATTAACGGCACTTATGACTTATGGGATATGTAGTACCGAGTGAATGCACTCACGCGAGCCTCAGGCTGCTTCGAAGGACACAAACAGCGTCTGTTGCCAAGGAAAAAAGGGGAAGAACAGAAGCCTCCTTTTATTTTAACCCTCTTTTTAAAAACGTTTTTAACCCCTGCTCAACATGTGTGCCATATCGAGCACAACACGCATTAACTGGCCTCTGCCGCTTCCGAAAATAGAGCCAGCTACTCATTCATATTCAGCAAAGAGGAGAAGAAGAAGATAAAAGTGCGCAGCGCCTTAATTACATCAGCATAAAATGTCAACCAATTAACTTCCTGCGTGGAAAGAAACAAAACTCCTCACTGTTCTCTAATGCATACATTTTTTTCTGGCACAAGGACACTAGATAAAGCAGGCATATAATAGGATTCAATTAATTTGGAAAAAGGTGTAAAAGTGGTATTAAATATATTGAAGAGTAGCCTATATTATGAAGCCCCAGACTATTAATCAAATAACACGAACTCCAAATCAATCTGGAAAAAAGTTTCTCTGTGAATGCAAGTCTCTCTGAAGCATAAAGCAAAAATAACTTCAATGAGAAGCTCCTTCAACACCTCCATCCGTCCGTGTGCCAAGAGCCAAGGAGGGAACATCATGTGCTTTGAGCAACATGAGCGGCTTCCCCTTGCAGATACCCAGCACATGAGATTGAATTCATGAAACAAACCCATTAGTTGCCTACCTATCTGCAGATGGGACGTCTTGGTCCTGAGTTGGAAAACTCAAAAAGTGTCTTGAGTGTTTGCAGGAAAAGAATTGGAGGGGGGGGGGGGGCTTCAGTGTGCTGCAAGTGCTCTGTAGCCTTAGTGAATGTGATCTCACTGGGAAAAGGGGTGTGTGTGTGTGTGTGAGCCGTAGCTCTTGGTTTACGAGCATGTGTGCATGTGTGTACTCGTGGTATGTGCATTGCAAACATGGGGGCCGAAAGACAGAGGGGGGGGGAGGAAAAAAGAAAAATGTCAAGGAAGCCTTAGCGGAGAGAGCTATAGGAAGGGTGTGGGAGGGGCTCTGCACATGTAACATGTACAATCCAACATGTCTGACTGGCTGTGGTGGACTGCGGCAAGGTCGACATGCCATAGACACAAGTGAAATATAGAGGGTCTTATCTGTATTCACATGAATGCACACACACACACACACACACTCACACAAACCCTTATTTTTTCTTTGCAAGACTACACAAGCAACAGCAATTGGCTTGCAGCAATTAGGAATTAAAACGTAAAATATGTGTGCGTGTGTGTGTGTGTGTGTGGGGGGGGGGGGGGTTTGTTACTGGAGGTGACCTCTTGCAGGTGATGAACTCAGCGGAGCCTTTAAAGTCAGTCTGTAGGTCACACACGGGGAGGCCCACCCGTGCACGGGGGTGCGGCACGCTTGTGCAGCACGCCATGTAAGGAGGATTGACTGGAAGGAGGCTCATGTTTACAGCAAGGTGTCAAAAACACACAGGACGCCAGGAGAGCTCCAGCCTGCTGAACAAGACGGTCCGGGTGTTGTTTCTTGCAAGCAGAGTGGATGTGTGGCTTTCTGAAGAGCTCTCCTGGAAAGGAAACTACTGTATTTATTTATTGTTCCTTTCAGGGTCCCCTTTAACAGCTCAGAAAACACATTGTTTTGTCACATTGATACTTCATGACTTCTCTTATAAAAGTGCTTATAAACATGACAGAGGTATGTTACACAAAATAATGTATAGGTTGTACAATATGGTTAAATACAAAGGATTTTCATATGTTCTATGTGTATCTGGGACTTTTTATGCAGCCCTGCAGCTCCAAAATTCCAAATGATCCTTTTTGGATTTGTGTCACTGAAGTTAATAAGATGTTCAAAAAGGAAATTGCATTACTTACGTTTTGGGCCAGTTTGCCCTCGGAGATGTCCAACTGACCCAAAACGTAAGTAATACAATGGATCATAGAGCACGGAAGGCCTCTGGACAAGGGAGGGCCATGAAGACGGAAGAAGAAGAACAAGGAGAACAAGAAGAACAAGAAGAAGTTAGAAAGGCTAAATAACAACAGCAACATAAAGCTACTTTTTCAAACCCACATAATACATTTATTAACCAGAGAACTCACATATGAGCATAGCACCATCACATACTAAACCTACTTCTTTGTCTGTAAATGACTGTTTGGCAAACAAAAGGAATCTTTATAGTTCATCGTGCACCGTCCACATGACTTATACAACGTGAAATGTGTCCTTGTTTGATGTACGTTAATGCTTTATGTTCTGGTCTTTCTGTTTTGACTCTCATTCACCATGAACTGCTCTGTTCACAGCCTGAGACTAATAACACATTTAACACTTGATATTCAGACCAGCTCCTATAGCCTCTCTGTCTCTGTCAGTATGTCACGCTATCAGCCAATCACTTTAGTCAAAAAAAGTGTTTTTCCTGCTAATAAGACGGAGATATTGACCTCAAAGTTGTATTACTTAAGTTGTTTCTTCTGTCTCCATTCTCTCCCCTTCCTGTCCCTCTGTTTTCCCATGTTTGGTCTGTCTGGCAGTGTCGTTCCACATCTGTCCACCAGGCGTCCCCGTTGAGTCATCTGCCCTGCATGATTGCAAATTGTTTGTTAAACCAGAACTGATGTCTGCAGGCAAGGCGCAGTAAATATTGTCCTGATTGTGGACACACAAAAAAAAAGAAGATAATTCTATGACTTATTTAAATATTATTATTATATTATCTCCAGAGAAAAAACACATTAAAAGGGAAAAACATTAAAATCATAATGATATTTTTTTTTTACCCATACAGCAGTGAGGTCTGTGGGATCCCAACACTATACACACAGTACAATAACAATACCAGTACAGTTATTTATATTTATTTTAGTAGAATAGTTACGCCCACAAAAAAGAGGTTGAGGTCTGTTATGTAATCAGTTAGACTTCGATACACATACAGCCCTTATATGCAGGTTTATTATCTACAAGATTACACTCTCAAATACTTCACAGAATTTTAGGAGATAAAAAAGCCAATATGGCAAAATTAAACAGCAATGAAATATAACAGAAATATATTTAAATTAAGGGCAAGTACTGCTGAAGCTGGTCTGTCACTATACTTTTCTATACCAGCAGGTCTTGGGGGAGAACCTGTCTCTATTCTAAGTGGATTTAGAACAAGGATCTCTTTTTGTTTTTACAGGTTTGAGAACACAGGTAGCAGATGAGGAAAGTGGCCCACACTGTAACTATGGAAAGTTCAGCTCAGTTATGGACCCACATGGTCGTCAGCACTTTGACCATCCAATGATGCCAAAATGAATTAGGACGCAGCGTCATTACCAAACATCGTGTGAGCGTCACTGTTTTTATTCATCCATCTAATTAAGATTGGGGAGCAACTTTTTCCACGTCGCCCACAACACACACACACACACCCATACACACACTCCTGTTGCATCCATTCAAATCTCCTTGACCATGTTTCTCATTACGAACAAGTTCCCAAACAATCAGCACGCGGTGCTGCATAACCAAACCGCCGAAAGCCAAGGGACTATAAAATGGAGGCCAAGTGGAGCAAGAGAAAGACGCAAAGACTAACGGACAGGAAGCAGAAGAAGAGAGATGGCTCACAGCAGAGGAACCAATGGAAGCAAACTCTTCACGATAGGTGAGATGAGCTCAGCTTGTCTACTTTGTCTATTTATGAAGTTATTGCCATTCTTTGTCTGGGATCTATACACCAAAATGAATAAGAGATGCATCTATTTTTACCATGTTAATAGATTTTAATATAATGAAAAGCAGGGCGTGCAAAAAATCTGCACACCTCATGTTTTCTCAGCCAAAAATATTGAATCAAAATTGATATGTTCTTTTGCTGAAAACAGAGATTTTAAACATTGCGTTTAGATGATGAATCAGCCGGGCCCTTAGCTCATCACGGGCAGTATATTTATATGATAAACAACAAGAAACTGCAGTATAAATTGTTTATTTTCACACTGTAACATGTCCTATTTAGTACAGATATCAATCACGTATATCGACTAAGATTTTCAATAACCAGATTTAAGTGACGCTTATCTCAAATATTTGTTGGTATTATGCATTTGTATAAAACAGAAATCAATATCGGCGTTTTCCGCCTTTATTGGACAGATGAAAGCGTAGAGAGGAAAGAGAAAGTGTTGTGACATGCAACAAAGGCGGCTGGAATCGAACCGGGGACATTGCGACTACGTGGCATGCGCTGTAACCCGTCAGCTATACAGAGGTGCTACAATATTGGATTTTAAAAGTTTGGTTTCTGTATCAATCTCAAAAATCTAGTATTGGTCGGGCAATCATATACCACGAAAAGACTTCTTAATTCTGCTGTTTTATCCAACAAAAATTCATTCATTCATGAGTCACTCACTAAATCCTTCAGAAATAAACATGTGTAGAAGATACTGAAATATCATGCCCATCTGTTACAGCTGCCGGTTAGGATAAGCTAACCTATTTTGCTGTCATATGGTATCATATTAATAAAATGTACCATGTAAGAGAAGTAACACTTTCAGCTCATTGGAGTGTTTCAGTTCTCACAGTGTGGGCTGTGGCTGGTGTGGATCTGTAAAAGCCCATTGAGAGAGTGAATGCAATATTTTTGCTTTACATTTCAAACAGGGTTGACTTTGAGAAGTTGAAATACTGTTTTGTCTCTGTCCCTTTTTCTGTGTTCCGTAGTGTTGTACATGGTGGCAGCGTGCAGTGCCATCCCCATCAGCGACCTGCTCGACCGAGCCTCTCAGGGCTCCGACAAACTGCACTCCCTCAGCACGACTCTCACCCAGGACCTGGTCAGTATCCGGGCTTTACCAAACATACATGTCAAACCAGCTCCTGGCTTCCTGATTGCCTTTGGGGCGGAATTGTGTTATACCCATTATACTCGCATGCAAGTCTAGTTGGGTCACGAATCCAGCACAGTGAGAATGAAATACAACATGAGACAATATAATAACCATCCGCTAACCCCCCTCCCCCCAGGACTCTCATTTCCCTTCTACGGGCCGGGTGATCATGCCCCGCCCCTCAATGTGCCACACCTCCTCTCTGCAGACACCCAATGACAAGGAGCAAGCTCTTCAAGTATCAGTGAGTTACTGTACATGCATGCAATGTTTCCGACTGTCACATCTCCCCAGTTACCCTTCAGCATGTTGTATCATCTTACTATCATCTGTTTGGCTTCTTTTCCAGGAATCGGACCTGTTGTCACTGGCTCGCTCCTTGCTCCAAGCCTGGGAGGACCCGCTGGTGGTTCTGTCCACCTCTGCCAACACCCTGCCTCACCCGGCCCAAGGCGCCATATTCAACAAGATCCAGGAGCTGCAGGAGCACTCTAAGAGTCTGGGAGACGGCCTGAACGTCCTATCTGGCAAGGTGTGCAAGTGTGGGAAGACACTCATACCGTTTTCCTCTTGTATTCACTAGCCGTGTTTGAGGTTCCTGGTAATTTTGGTCCAGGGAGTGCTTTTCAAGGACCAAAAGGGTTCCTTCAGCCCATTACAAAAGGTTCCGAGGCCCTGGGGAAGTTCTGCAGTCGAAAAGTGGCTTTTTATAATGTTAATAGAAAATGTGTTTTAAGCCATAAATAAATACTTTTAATTAAAGTCTGTGCAACTCCAGAGGAGGTCGGTGGGTCAAATGTGAATTCCACCCGGTAGACTGGAGTTCGTGCCCCATGTGAAACCAAACAGTTATTTGAACCCAAACCACCATCTTTTACTAACCAAGTAGCTTTGTCACCCAAACCTAAACGTAATTGAGAAGGCATGCAGCAAGAGTGGTATAAGCAGTTATAACACTATTACGCTGATGTAAACTGATGTAGAAATGGTGATATTAAACTTATTTAGATCTTACGTACCTGTGCTTTGCGGAAAAACATACAATGCCAATATTTCATTATTTATGTTTTTCCCCCACATCCCAATCCCTCCAACTCCCTTTCCCTGCCTCCCTTCTCTCCCAGATGGGTCCAGGAGCTCAGACCATCTCCTCGCTGCCCTACATGGGAGGCAACGAAATCGGCCAGGACAGGATTTCCCAATTGATCAACTTCAATTTCCTGTTGTCCTGCTTCCGCCGCGACTCCCACAAGATTGACAGCTTCCTGAAAATATTGCGCTGCCGGGCAGCAAAAATGCTACCGGAGATGTGCTAGAAAGGGAGGCAGCCGGCGTGATGTCTCTCAAAGCTCGAATTGCCTACCAACCGTAGCTTAGCGCGTGCTGTGAATCTGCTATCTGAGCTAGTATCCTAATTAATAAGTAGTTGTCATTCTGAGCTTCCAGAAGGTGAAGATGAGGAGGAGTTACACGGCACACGCAGGAAATCTTATTTCATTTGAACACCTTTAGTCATCACGATGCATCAGTCCAATTGGAATGAGTAGAATGTTGTGATATTGTGACGTTTTAGCTCTTGAGAAACTTTTTCCCTTGTAAATTTGACAAAAAGCTGTTCTCCCGAAACAGCTTCTAGTATATTGTTAAAGGTGGTTAATAACTAGGCAGGGGAGCCGCGCAGTGAACTTAAAGGCTCACACTGTTTTGCTAACGAGGACAAAGCACGGCTCACGAACTTCCCCGGGTGGTTCCAGCTGGTCTGGCATTAGGAGCTGACCATATCGTGCTCCCATACAGTGGTAAACCGGTGTGCCATCTCTCCTGTTACTCCTCCAGTCTTGCCTTCCTTCTAAAAGCTTGTTACTTGTATGTGGTGGCAAGAAGGGTGCGACATGAGAGATCCCTCCACCAGCCAACTCTCCAAGTCTTTCTTCACACTGGGAGGCTTCGATGGAGAAAGGCCTTCTCTCCCTAACTTGCGCCCTACTGCACCATTTGCACTTTAGATTTAATCTTTCTTGAGGGTGAAACCCTTATCAATTTCAATATTTCTGTTCATCAATAAAAATCATCTCTTGCACAGTTAAATTCTTTGTCTGTGTCTTGTGAGCCCACTCTGTGGAAATGCAATGTTGAATCAATGGAGTACCACATTAAACATTGATCATGTGTTAAAGCACACATGTAGTTAAATAGTTTTAAAAAAAAAGAATAATACATTACAGGTGGATTATATCTGTGTAGAGGTGGGAGAGCATGATAACCAATCCCACCATAATCTGATATTTGCTTGATTGATAAATTGATACAAATGTCAAAGTGGGTGCTTTGAAGACAGTCCAATGGTGACAGAAGAACATTTGTTCAATTCCATTTTTCAGTTTTTTAAAACATTTTTTGTAACTTTTCGTGGCATGGCGACATTCACATTATCTGCATTTGAAACATATACAAATGGGACTTTTCAATATGCTCAGTAGCATACACAGTTTGACCAATGGAACAGTGGCTGGCTGTGTCGCAGCTGAATGACTCTCGGCAGGATAACGCAGCAATATTGTCAAATGAGATCAAGATATGTTGAAGGAGACTTAGCTGGAGTACTTAAAGAGTCATTGCAGAACGCAAAAATGTTACCACGGGGCTGTTAGTGTTTATCCGCCTCAAACAGCCAATGTACCGACTGTAGGCTACATACGTTAGCAGCTAGATAGCAACGAACACACAGATCTCAGACTCACCAGAAACTCTGGTTCTTTTTGTTATTTCCCTCCAGTCTCTCTCCTGTTTCCTCTCATCTCTGTACATTTATGAAGCAGATTCATAAAGCTCCAGGATATGTGCAAGTTATTTTACTCAAACTGCAGCATTTTTACATTCCCACGGATATGTCTTTGTGTCATATCACACCGCCCCAGGTGAATTTGTGTCCACTGGCGTCTTTCCATTGACTTCCTTGACTGGCAGACAAGGGCAAACGGGCCACAGCGGCCCAAAACATTTCCGTTCGGAGAAACGTGCTGCAGCTTCAGAAATAAATCAAACACATTTACAACGGAAACGTGTTGCAAATGAAAACAAAAACCTGCTGCAGAAAGCAGAACTAAATACATTGACAGAAAACACGTAGCAAATGCAGAAACGATGCAAAGTTAAAAACACGCAAACTCCGAAAATAAATGCAAAAAAACAATCATGAGAGACCAACGACCTATACGCCTGAATCTTACACAACTTCAAGTCAACGGGTGATGTGTTGCCATGACAACATACTTTGTGCCGGTGTTTTAAGGGGAGCGAGTTAAAAGAGAAAGTTTAAAAAATAGCCTATGAAGTCGGATGATATTGAGAATATATGCAGTACATGTAAAACTAAGATGTTAATGAAGAGGGACATTTCAAATGCAATACTGTTATTAAACCAAACTTATCACTAATGTCTGAAAGTATATATTTTTCTTTCTTATTTATTTAATTGTCTCGGGACCCCTTTAATGGGAACCACTGAGCTAGGCCCCCCTAAAAGCCCGGACCGGCCCTGCATCGGGGTCTGGCTTTCCCCACATTGAGTCGCTCTGATCGTTGAGACGCGCTGGAGGCGCACGGAGAGCAGAGCAGCCGTCGGACCGGTAAACCGACACCTGTCTGCCACGTTCACCACGTCCCAGACTTCGGCCATGAAGAACAAACACAACCAGCCGGTGATGAGCGCGTGTCCGGAGCGGCTCGACAACATGCCGAGCTTCGAGGTGACTCTCCAGCAGCTCAATGATTTGCTGACGGACGACAGCGGCTTGTACAGCTGGCCGACCAAACACTTCCACGAGGTCTACCCGCGGATCTACGTGGGCAACGCGTGAGTCGTTGTTTTCATTGCGCCACACATGTGATTAGCCCATGTCGCTCGATAATTCCGGTCACGCAGCACGAACAATCCCCACAGACGCTTTTTCCATTGACCACAATCGAAACAATTGTTACCTATTTAATTAAGAATCACTAATTATCCTGCTACAGTCTATTAATGCAGTGATACGATATTATACAACTGCATCAAAATTATGGTTATGAATATATTATAACACAATAGATGACAAAATAGATTAACCTTCAGTATCACCATTGAAATCATTATTTATTTATATATACATATACACACATATATATAAATATATAACTATAAAAATGAATATAAAAATGGTGCCTTTTGCTATATAAACCATTTTGCTTCATATATATATATATATATATATATATATATATATATAGTTCCCAAGAATACCATAAGAGCCGACATGTGTTAGAACCATCTAGAGGTGATGTATAATTAATGCCATGATTCTCAGTCTGGTCTTCAGGAACTCACTGCTGTATCATAATTACTGTCTGCTTTTCACGGGGAGTTTCCATGTGAATATGTATTAGGGTATTTAATATTTATTTCCCTTGTTCGAGACTGACTGTCTGACATCAGATCATGGAGGCAGCGCGTGTCAGACAGAAAGAGATGGAGGTAAAACAGAGCGGAGACAGACGAAGGCAGACCTGGCAGCGGTGGAGGAGGATCCGGAAATAGCTGGTGTGCTCTACCTGTTAGTGCCCTGTTGATTTGAGTGCTCTGCTATTCAATCTCTGCAATTGGCATGTCTGACTTCTTTGTGTCTCTGCTGAAGTTAAAGGGACAGTTCTCCCCCCAAATTTAAACTACATATTTCTCCTCTTACCTGCAGTGATGTGTATCAGTCTAGAGTGTGTTGGTGTAAGTTTCCTATAGAGTTGCTGGATATCTGCTTTCTCTCCGATGTAACAGACAAGATGGCACTTGGTTTGTTGTGCTCAAAGTGCCCCAAAAAAAAAAAAAATGCAATGTCTCTTTCTAGAAATCAAGACTGGGTTACAAGAGGGTTCCGTTTAGGTTTATTTTGGAAGATTACTCAAGATAATCCACAAACCTTGTTGTGAGCAGTTTCATATATGAACTACGACTTACTGACATATGCACGGTATCGTCTCATCACATAACAGAATATTGACAGTGGACAACATTAAGATACATATTACCCAGCAGTCATCATTGCATATACGACAGACATTACAAAGAAAATAGGAGATTATTCTTTTCATTGTATAGTTTTTTTATCATTTTTTTTATAGTTTCTATAGTTTCTGTAGAATAAGCATGTTTTATAGATCACTATTGACTATTTTGCAAAATAAAATGAAACCATGATGGAGATGGATTTGCTTTTTCAAGGGTTTATTTAGCAAAAAGGCACAATTTCATTGTAACTTGAGGTTGTTTTTGAACAATCACTAGCAAGGGCCTGTTCTCCGCCCAATACAGTGCATCATTGGAGGGCCTAGTCTCTCTCTCTCTCTCTGAGGGCCTCAACCCCAGGGGCCTCAGTGCTGCCACTTTGCCTGCACCGCCTAAATTTAGCCATGTGAGAGGGACGGTAAATAAAATAAATATGGAGGGGGGGGGGTATTTATTTGGGTGTTTTGTTCACATATCAACAATCTTTCTCCAGAATCACTGACTCCATGTTTAAGCCGATCGCAGCTCTTCAACATGTCCAGTATGTCGAGCTTGGAATAACAGCACTGTATGTTTCAGGCCTACAAGCAAATGAATGTTTTCAGATCTAAAAGCTTTAAAAGAGAAACAGCATCACAGTGAATCATGGCAGTGTATTAGCAGGAGAGAAACACCTCTCTGGTGCCTCCTTTGTTCCGCCTGCCTTCCTAACGGAGTCTTAATGGACGGAGCAGAAACACTTGTGTCTGTCATATTGGAGCAAGTGTCCTCACAAATATATTAACAGCTCTGTAAGGCCTCGCGGAGAGAGAGCATGATGCACCCGCGCGCTATTCTCTCACAGCCGCTACTTTTTGATGTATTGGGCTCCACTGTGCAGCCTGGAAGCCTGACAAGACTATTTTATTTTTTGTTGTTTTTTTGCTGTTGCCGAGTCGTGACGTTGGATTCAGTAGCGTGCGGAGGCTCAATTTTTAGCTCTCTACATCTAAAAGGAAGGAGCTGCCAAGTGGCACAGCAATCCCAGAGGTTCACAGTGAGAAGCAGCACATCTCTCCTGCAAGAGTGGAGAGCATTTGTATGAACGGGATGAAAGGGAAGAAGGATGAACAAAAAATGAAAGATTTAATTCCAAGGAGCCCCAAAAATGAACTCACAGAGATTTGTTTCTAAATGTAGCTCACTGTGACACAGTTTACACTACGCAGCTGAAGATGTGTAACAGTCACAATCACGACCTCTGCTTCTTCAAATGATTTCATTTGATTTGTGTCTGCTCTGGTGGATCAAATCAAGCGCTCCTTACCCACAGGTAAACTGCGTGACTAAGGTGGTTTGTTTCCACCACGCCTCATCGCCTCATGAGCACAGCTGCAGGCAAGTAAACACGGAACGTTCAGAAGGAAACAGCTGTCTGTGTAGGGAGGATTATTATTCAGTTTCATTACGTGTAGTAGTTATTAAGTACATTTGTATTTACATTTAGTTCTCACAAGACATAATGATTTATGTGAAGAAAGACATTGGGATTAAAATACTTTGAAGCTTGTTCACAGCTTCATTAAAAGAGCTCTGCACCGATTTCACACATCAGTTCATGACCCAAATTTCCAGAATCCGAGGGGCTGAGGGGCGGATTCAAAAAAGGGATTTTGCCTAAACCTGCACAATTAAGAGAAAAAAACCTCACTCTCAAAGCACCTGCAAAGGGTGCAATGCACGGTCACTAACTGTGCTGCAAAGCTCTCGTGCTATTTTGCATATTTAAATGTTGTAATATGCATATTTGGTACTTTTCTTTCCCGATGAGCCTAATTGCAAAATCAGTGCAAGCACTAGTAGCCACACGCAGTTACAGTGAAATGATCAGCGTCTTCAGAGAGTTGGTGGTAACTTTGAGATCATATTTATTTTTCTCTCTGCCATTGTTCTGCTTACTATGTTCTTGCCTCAAAGGCAAAATGTATACTTTGCCACATGAACAATTGCAATCTGATGCAAAACTTTATGGGCGTGTTTGCGCTTCGATATAAATTGCGCGGTATCTTTTGTGAATTGGATTTTAAGACGGGGCTGATAGCGGTTGCAAGTGATGACGCTATCAGCGCCATCACTTGGAATGAATTTCCGTGAATGTTCCGTGTCGAGTGTTGATTTCGCTTGATATCTTACTCAGCTGGTGTGTATTTGTTTTGCTTACCAATCGGATGCAGGTTCGTGGCGATGAACGCGATGCGTCTGAAGCGTCAGGGCATCACCCACGTCCTGAACGCCGCGGAGGGGAACTCCTTCATGCACGTCAACACCAACGCTGAGTTCTACGCCGGCACAGGCATCGTCTACCACGGCGTACCGGCCAGCGACACCGACCATTTCGACATCAGCGTGTACTTTGAAGAGGGAGCGGACTTCATCGAGAAGGCGCTGGCGCACAAAAATGGAAAAGGTCAGAGGATAGCGGAGCCGAGATGAAATGGATGTCAAATACCCCCATTGGGAAAACATGAAGGAATGCATGTGTTTATACTTACAGTCCTGATAGAGGCTGTAATTAAAGGTCATTATTAAAGCTGCACTAATCCTTATTTTTTATATAAACAGTGGATCACAGGACTATATGTAATGTGAAAGGATTCACTCATGACAAACCCAGCTCGTTGTAGCTTATTGTTTCGATTTTCCAGCCCTAAACTCTGCTTTTATCGATCATGTTTCCAGCTGCAGCGAGCTGCTATTTTCAGTGAGAATACCAGACAGCACACAGAACATGGTGAACATAGTGGAGCATTTAGCAGCTAAAGAGTCAGACATTTTTCTCAGGAGTTGGTGGAGACCAAAACAGAGCTAAAAGAGAGAGAATACGCCTCTTACTTTTGTAAAATGGCCTTAAACACGATGCTAAATCAATGCAAATCTATTCTGCTGGATGTGTAAATAGGCAAGAGTCTACAGATACGTTAGCCATCACTTTATAAGGTGATAAATAGTTGTGTTTTCATCTTGCTTTTATTACCAAAGCTACAAAGCCTAGCATAAACAGAAGCAGCTAGTTAGCAGCTAGCTATGTGAAAATGTGGAACATTTAGCAGCTACAGAGCTGGAGTTGGTGGAAACCAAAACTTAGCTGAAAGGAGAGTCAATGTTGCACTTGAACTTGTGACCTGAAACACGAAACGAATCAACTTTGCTTCTAAATAAATGCTAATGTTCCTCGGTAATATTTCAGATACGATGCCGTGACCTCGGTCGCTCTTCTCGTCCTCTCCAGGTAAAGTGTACGTTCATTGCAGGGAAGGCTACAGCCGCTCGCCCACCTTGGTCATAGCCTACCTGATGCTTCGCCAGAACATGAACGTCCACGCCGCTCTGGCCACGGTGCGACACAAGCGAGAGATCGGACCCAACGACGGCTTCCTTCGGCAGCTCTGTCGGCTGAACCAGCGGCTGGCTGCTGAGGGAAAGTTGTGGAACTAATGAAGCAGCTAAGACTGTCCGTAAGAGAGAGCAGAGGTATGCTTAGTGGCACATCACTTTCTTTCACTCGCTCTACTGATTTAACGAGCCGCAGGTCTGTGAGGGGATGATCTAGAGGGGAGGATAGACATTCTGTCTTAGACTAAGGCTGATGGCACTATGTATGTATAGTACAAAATACTACACGCAAACCTTTGACACGAACATACAGTATTGTAACACTGGTGATGCCGTGTGCTGATCATACCAGGTGCACTACTTTACTCAGCGTGTTTACATCCTGAATATTACATCTCTCTTAGTTCAGGTCTAAGTGACTATAAATAATCAGTAAGCATATTTTACTTTATTTCATGTTCTGTATGGTTTGGTGTGTTCCCCTGCTGCTCACTACTCCAGAGCACGATGTCAAAGTATAAAGGGAATGTAAATATGCATTTTAAAAAACCATAATGGTGTAACTGTTGTGATACGGTCACCGCCTTTTCTCGTCCGGCCTTCTCGCTCCATCTCCTTTCCTTTCCTTTGCGCCCTTTGTCTTGGCCTCACTCCTGCGATCACTGCCACATGTCTCAGTCCCAGCCACTCACAGATTTTAAGTGGACACTGTGATTTTCAGATTTCAGGGGTACCATTGGATGATATTACAATATCTTTTGCTAAACATGTTTTTAGAAAACTGCACAATCTTTTGACCCGTCTACAAGTCTGCCTCAGAACTTTGTCTCAAGTTAAAAATGTGTCTGCTGTCTTGTTGGTGCTTTATAGGAAGTCCTGACACTATTTCATATTGCAAAATCATTTGATTTTTAATAGTAAATTGAAGATGGTGATACAGAGGGCCGGAGAGACAACTGAGACATTTTTTTTTCTGGTGATCATCTAAGTCTGATCTAAATTGTTTTGTGTGTTTATGATTAAGAACAGCCGAACAGGTGGTTTCTAAATTCCTTCAATTGTTTAATCTGAGAAACAGATGGAAAAAATGGTTTTCTTAATACTTATTACGGCCACAAGAGGCTGACGTGCACCACTGCCCCATTTTCTCAATAAAGACTAATAGCGTTTTTTTTCATGTGAGTTTTAATTTACATTACTTGCTAACACACACTATGTTTGCCTTGTGTTTAGATTGCATGGAGAACTGGAAGAAAACATGAATGCTATTAGTCCCATTTAGAAGATGGGGTAGTGGTGAACTTCAGCCTCCTGTGGCCGAAATGAGTGTTACAACAACAAACTCCCTGGAAAAGAAATGTCAATTGTCCGAATTATTTTTAACCTGTTCTTATTAAGTCATAAACACAGCAGGAACAGTGCGGCATTTTGGGAAATATTTTTTTTGATCATATCTTCAATTATAATTCACTTCCTTGCCAAGAGTGCAGTAAGACTATTGATGCAACGCCCCATGTCTGTGTTGTAAATATGAAGCTAACGCCAGCAGCCGGTTAGCTTAGCTTAGCACAAAGACTGGAGACAGTGGGAAACAGCTAGCCTGGCTCCGTCAAAGATGACACAACCTGTAAAAGCTATAAAGCTAGGAACTAACATTTTTTATCTCATATCTCAAATGTCGTGGACTGTTTTTTGGGACGGACACAGTAACCTCCCTTACCCACGAACAACCACATATTGTCGTTACACCGTGCAGAAGATTAAACAAACAAAATACAACATGTTAATAAGTGAACTTCACAGGAGCTGGTTAAGGAGCCGGGCTAGCTTTAAGCCTTTGTGCTAAGCTAAGCTAAGCTAACTGGCTGTAGCTTCACATTTAGCCATGACAGCGGTGCCAATCTTCTCGTCTTAACTCTGGGCAAGAAAGCGCAGAAGTGTATTTCCTGAAAGAATTTCTTCATTTGACTTTGGGAGATTCTCACAGTGTTGACGACGTAAAGATTAATGCCAAATGGTCCACTGAGTGGAACCAAGCCACCAGAGCCTCTGATTGTAACTTCAACATTAGTGCGCTTACATGTACGTGTTCTTGTTGTTCTTGTGTGTTTAGTTTTGTATTGAACAGAAGCATGCTTTGTGATATAACTGTGAGCCAAAATGTTCATATTCTATTGCTAGCACAGCTATGTATCTATACATATATATCTATATATTTACCGAGTCTGCATTATTGTGTGCGCTGTATTCGTCACAAGGTGCATTAATAAGCCTGCGACTTGTGAATCATCATGTGCATTACTGAGCAGGATGTGATGTAACTGGTCGTGTCGGTAGGCTACCATTGAGTCTCACAGATTACGAGACAGCTTTTATGAAGTGCACTTTATCTAATGACACTGGTGATTGTTGTCGCTCTCTTTTCATACATTCAGGAATAAACTGAAAATGACAAACAACGCTTTCTTATTATTGATCGCTGTGGTGACATTCAGCAGAGTTCCAGACAATATTAGTGGATAATTGTTTTTTATTAACAATCGTTTACTTCTTTAACTCTGAAGATTTAACACTTAATACTGTAGTTTAATAGATGATATGTTGCTGGTTAGTCTGCACTCCGTCCTGTAGAGGGAGCAGTAAGACTACTGCAGTTGTGCTGAGATCAGCAGGGTCCCCGAGACAAACTGCAAAAACATCAGAGGCCACAACTACTGTGCAGCACAAATGTTTTATGCATAACATTCTGTTTTAGACTGATGCAACTTTACCGGGGTAGTTTCTCTATTACACTATGTTTTTATGTACAGTGTGTTGGACTACACATTTAAGATTGAAAGGGACAGTCCATCCGCATGGACATGAGTTAATACAAGGGTAACCAGTTAGTAAAATGTCTTTGATTACAAAGTGGGGTGTAGCGTTTGAAAGACGACCATATGTTTTGTTTCAATATTATTTCCATCAGGTTTATCCTACCCATCATGAGAGTTGTTCCGATACCAACATCAGAAATGCCTCCGACATAACTTAAAAAGCAGGATCGGGTCCTATACCACGTTATATCATTTATCAGCTCATTTACGCTACACTGGAACAACTACCCGGTCCCTACATCCTGCGCATCAGAGTGACACATGCTCAGTACCGATCAGGCCGGTGCAGAGCTGGCAAAATGTCAGCAATTTGACAATATTTGTCATCTGTCAAACTTGTATAATAAAATAAAGTTTTATGGCATTCATTCTCTGAATGTATTTGTTCATGTTTTAGAAAAGGGTTAAACCTGAGCCAGTCCTTACAACAAAGATAGCAATCACATCCGTACAGGGTTAGTAGTATACAGCTGTTTGAAAAGAATAATAAAATTGGGCCTATTTTTTGTTTTTAGCACACTGGTGACTGATCAGTACTTGGTATCGTGAAGGTACACATGGTATCGGAACATCTCTACAGCGGATCTAGGATATATCACCGAGACAAATACATGATTTGAGGATTGCTGTCGTAAGACAACAGATTTTGGAGGTTGAGCTCCATGGCGGGGCCTCTCTCCCTCCCCTTAAGATTTCTCCCCTTCTCGTCTTTTGCCCTCTCATCTGTTTTCATGCATGCTCTCTCTCTCTCTCTCTCTCTCTCTCTCTCTCTCTCTCTCTCTCTC